GCAATGGCTCTTCCTGTTGGCATTGTCAATATGTGCTGCCATCGCAGGGCTCTATCCGAAGTTCCAACAAATCCGGCAAATGCAAATGTTTGCTTCTCAAACGAACACATTTTAGAATGTGCATCGCTTAAATACTCCTCCGTAAGAACTTTAACACAAATTTAGCTCCCGTTCCTTTAGTTTCTTCAACAAACTTTCTGTTTTGAGTTTATGAGTCTGAGAGAATATTCTACAATTCTCAGCTTGAAGTGTTTCCGGTTTGCGAAGAGTATGCAGAAAAAACAAACACGAAGGATGGACTTGAAGAACTTGCTGAAACATTCAAGTTATGCAGCTGCAACTGTTTACAAAAGCTTTTGGTTGGAATATTTTAAAACTAAACAAACATGGTTTATTTTACAGTTTGTTCAGGTACTGTACAGTCACGCGATGGACGGGGTTTGCGGAGTCAAACTGAATGGCGGGATTTTTGCCTCTTGAAGCATTCAAACAATGAGTTTCTTTTTTAAGACCCCTGAAGGATTTCGGGATGACGTACATGTAGCTGGGCAAACACTTGAAACAGAGGAATTATGAAAGAGAAAGACTAACGTTTCTGAGGAACTTATTTGAGCGCATATACCTTGTTCCCATCGATAGATTTAAGCTTGATTTAAACTCTCCAATGAAACTGTCACAATTGGAAGGTCCAGCACATTTAGATGTTTTTTTGCTATAGTACTGGTATGGGCCATTCTACAATTTTACAAAATGTAGGTGCTATAAGTGTGACATTTTCCTGTCCCTGTTACCTTGGTACTTTTAAATTTGCCATTCACGTATCATTAAGAATGACTTCAAACATTTATTTGCTGGGTACTTCACAATCACTTTTGGAGGACGACAGCAATACGGAGTGCATCAGAATTTATAAAATCATTGATGTCAGATGAAACAAGGACAGGAAAAAAAGTGTACACCAAATTTATAGAATACCCAAATTGGCAGTTATGTGTTTGGCTTTTTGCCTTTGAAATGTTACAGTAAATATCTTTATTCTTTAGCCTTAGTAAAAATGTCAATTTACACCCTAGTTGACCCCTCCAAACTGACCAACTCCAACGTCATTCTGATGCGATCAGAAATCTCCTGTGTAGGGTTGGCCCCAATACAGCCCCTCACACCTCAACCCATAGCCCACTTATTGTTGTCTCGGCCACCACACAAAGCAACTCATTTACATATCAATAGAAACTCAACACTAAGACCTCCATTGCCCAATGACTAATCTCTAAAGGAAAACTGAAGTGGAGCGGAGTTGACCGAACTGGGCACGCAACATGTAACCATACAATGTCTCAAAATTCTCTGTAAAAATAATTTAGAAATGGGAATGGCTTAACAGAGGAATAGAAACTATACAGGAAAAAAGTACAAATTGGAGCTACACCTAATTTGAAAGCACAGCCAACTTTACAAGTTTACTGATCAGATTTCTTTAGGTAATGGGCCTTATTCACGAGTCGGCCATATTGAATTGAAAGTTAGGTAAAATCTTAATTTTTGGAACTTGCGAAGAGAGATGAAAGCAAGTTAATATATAATAAATTCCAGTCTGCTTCAAAAATGTGTAATTAAACATTCCCCAATGTTTAAAGCCATGTTTAAAAAAAAAATCACAGTAAAATAAGGCTGCATTGTGCCTGCATAAATAGTCTGGGGCCATCTCATTCAACAGTTAACAATTAATGAAATAAACTCAGGGAACTTGACAAAAATGGCCAACTCGTAAATAAGGCCCACGGTTACAGGTTGCAGGTTTAAACTTTGTGCTTGAGCAATACAGGGCTAAGAAGAAAAGCCGAGTACAAAGTTCCATAATTCAAAAAAAGTCCGCAACAACTGGTGGTGAATTACTGGCCTTGAGTGAGTTTCAACCAATCAGTTTTTACAATGTAGGCCAATAAACTAAATTTGCAGTACGACATTAAAGGCTTCTGCTTTTATGCTGCTGCTATTTATGGCACTGTGATTAAACTGCACACCTTTTTGTTGTTGTTTTTGTATGTAGGTATCAGGGGACATTCTTGAACATACAAAACAAAACACAGACTTTAAAGATCTCTTTCCAATACAGTTATATGTGATTGGAATACATTAATCATAAAACCTACTTATTATGAGTAATTTGAATCCAATGAGTGAAAAGCAAGGTGTATTTTTCTTATAGGGCCTACTTCAGACTTTAAAGGCATAGGCCTATAGGATCATTTGCATTTATCCAAAAAGTAACCTACCAAATTATTATCAAAAAGCTTTTATACTTTGATTAGAGATCATACCAGTACTAAACCCCCATGAATTAGTCTGTCTTGTTTGCTGCCATTTTGAAGAAAATCAAGAAATGTAAGTGATTTCCAATTTTCCAATGACCAGTCAATTTGAGTGCTAATTAAGAAATCATGTTTTGCAGTCAAAAACTTGTGCATGGTTTTCAAATGTTTCCTCGAAAATTTAAAAATTCACTGAGCTGAAACTTCAACAGGTTAGGTTTTGAACATTTCATTCTTGGATTTCAAGTGGTGTGATTATTGGAAATTAACAAAATGCATGAAAAGCAAATGATTCTATATGCCTTTAAAGCAAAAGTTCTTTAACAAAAATTGGAAAATTACAAGATTACTTAAATTAAGGCTACTCTCTAATTGTAGGGAGTAAATTCATCTGAATCTTGTGAATCAAATCACGGATCATGCAAAATAAATTCATTGGCACTAACTACTGAAAAACTTTGCAGAGTTTGATGCAAAAAAAAGGATTCAACTCAGAAGTTGTGACTATCTGGATTACAGAAAATCAAAACACAATTCAGTTCATGAGACACTGTGTTCAATATCAGTCCCCTAAGGTGCCACAGTTCCAAGAAAGTCAAAGATTCGAGCCATGTACGTCTTCGTCGTATGGCGTCAGAGATCACACTCTCAAGAAAAACGACTCAAGAAGCCCATGGAAGCGGAAGCCTTGAAGATTTCTCCCTGAGTCACCAGCCCCAACAAACCACGTCCTCTTTACTCCCTTGCGTGCGAATAGACAATACCCTCACCAGCCCGCCATTGTTAGCCCTCAAAATACCCTAATGGCCATCTCACCGCTAAGAACAAACGAACGCTGCCCGCCGGCAACAGAAAGCCAGAAAGAGAGTTATGGAGGGAGAGTAAAACGAAATGAGGAGAGGCAGGGTTTGTTACCGTAGAGCAAACACATAGACCTGATCACAAATCACTCTCACTCCTAAGGATGCACATCACAATGCAGCACAAACACAGAGCCCAGTTTGCAGCCTCAAAAGTATGACTTGTTCTTCTTCGCATCCGACCCCAAACCGGGTCTCCAAATAACTCAAGCCTAATTTCCTCCACTCAAATAAGACATGAGACAAAATAAGAATTGAGGTTATAGCCGAGTGACTGACTTGCAGATGGAGGGAATTTTTGACTTCGCACTGGCAAAACACTTGGGAGACAATGAATTGCTCAGTGGTACGTCTGAGACACACGCGATGTTGCTATTGTTGTCTGCTGATGTAGGGCCTTCGGGCAGGTCATTACTGGCACGCAATCCTAAGAATGCTGGGATTGGCCCACTCACTTCCGTAATGTAACAGTTTGGATAGAATGGGAGGCTCTGCAATTTACAATCTTGAAAGATTTGATGAATGATCAGCCAAAAAAAAGGTTCACATTTTGACAGCTTCAATGAACAAAAGTTTGTTTTTGCAATTAAAGCTATAAACAGGGTTTTTTCCATTACTGCTGATTACTTTTTTTTCTATGGAATTAAAGCACCTTTTAATTATTGGTGTTCAAAGATTTTTTTATATCCTTTGATTTCAATCACACAATGTAAAGATACAGAATGTAACATGTCCACATCATGTTGGTTCAAATATTCTGCATTAATCTTTGGTGGTGTGGAATATCACTGTCCAATAGTAAAATTATCTACATGACTCGAGTGAAATGTGAGATTATTTGAGAATGTTATACCATGACCCGACCTGCTTATTGCATGCAGCTCGTGCATGTGATCATGTCGGATGTTCAAAGATATTAAAATATCTACTCAAAAATATTCAGTCTATTTTAAGCACCAGGAATGGTCAGTACCCGGCAACAGTAAGAAAAAACGTAAGATACATGTAGGACAACCCAAGGGTGGATTCAGAGAGGTTACTGCTGGGGGTTGGGGGGGGGGGGAGGGGTGTGCCGGGGGGGGGGTCTCTCTCAAGTGAAAAATTGCCATATTCGAGAACATTTTGGTCACTGCTAGGCGGCGCCCCCTCCGGGATCCGCAACTGGGATCCAAGGGATAGGCCCTACAATTAATTCTGTTTAAAAAAAAATGGGAACCAATATTTTGGGTAAAATGTGACCGATTAGAACTTTAAACTGGCCCCAAAAGGAAAAAATAATTGGCCAATGTTTAGCACATAAATATATGTACCTTAAATGGAAATGAAGTTTCATTTTCATCATGAAACTGTTGTTGCCAAATTTAGGTTGATTAATGGTGAAATTTACTTTGGAAAGAATGTAAAATCAAGACACCACTTCAGCAGTTGTGTACAAAGTCTATGGAGAGTCAAGAATATTTTCAAAGTATTTCCTAACAAAATTGGAAATGTTTCTCAGTCCCAGATTCATGTCTTTTCAACATTTTTGCAAGGACTGACCTCCTTTGAGATGATATGATGAAAAGGGTTGCGTCAGGATGCAACATTTTCTTTCCTACAAAAGTTTTTTTTATCAAATAAAATTACATCTTGTAATAGAAGAAATCGTTCAGTGCACCTGCTTGCTGAAAAAAAGGGAAAATTCAAAATTATTCCTGCAATCTTGTGGATGACAGGACTTCTTTCTACAAGTTGGAACTTCAAGGACAACTGATGTTGTAACTTTCACAACTAGAGTTCCTGTAAAGAAAAGGGTTATTCCTACTGAACTTGAAGCATCTATACCTACCTCATGTGCAAAGGAGTATTTTGCTCTCAGAATCTTGCGATATAAGCGAGTTCTGTTATCGTCATCAAACGGCATTCTACCACTGAGCAAAATGTACGTCACGACACCGATTGCCCAAATGTCCACCGACTGATTGTACGACTTCTTCAATAGGATCTCCGGAGCGATGTATTCAGGAGTCCCACATATTGTTCTCATTGCTTCGTCTTGATCGCCGGTACCCTTCCGGCAGCTCGCCAGTCCAAAGTCCGTGATCATGATCTTTGAGTCCGTACCGGGATGGTAGTAGAGCAAATTCTCCGGTTTGATGTCGCGATGAGTTATCCCAAGACTGTGGAGGTAGCGCACTGCTTCCAGGACCATCTGGAGCACCCTGGTTGCATCCCGTTCATTGAAACTCCCCTTTGAGACAATCCTGTCGAAGAGTTCTCCTCCTGTGGCCAACTCCATCACCATATACAACCGTTCCTTACTGTCAAACACCTCAATGAGTTGTATAATATTCGTGTGCCGTACCCTACGGAGAATATTGAGTTCAACCTCCCAGCACTGTTTGCCCTCTCGCCTCTTCTCCACCATCTTGATGGCATAAGGATTGCGAGTAGACCGGTGCTCCACTCGCACAACTCGGCTAAAACTCCCCGTCCCGATCAATGCCTTGATGTCATATTTAGCAGTCACACGGGGGTCGAACTTGGCCTTGTATTTGGGCTTGCGGTGCACTTTGCTCACCTCACTCTTCCGGTACTGGTTCTTGACAGTCGATGGGCCCCCTCCACCGCCGGTTTCCACCGTTTTTACCCAGTCGATGTGGCGATCTATTGGCGTTTCTGGGGCGAGTTTCCCACCGCCACAGCCCATGGTTACACCATGGATCGGTACTCTAGTACTCTACATCGGCCAGGGAACACTTAAACCAACGATCACTCCGAAATTGTGACTTCCATGATTGGAATTTTGAGAAAAGATAGTGCTACAATACAACTTCCTCTCACAGCAACCATCTCACCGTGTGTACTGACCGGCTTTGCGTGCGAGAGTTCGGAACAACAGGTTCACAACATAAGTGATTGAATCCGGAGACTTGTGGGTAAAGCGCGCTCGAGCGTGTACGACTACAATATTCTTTTTACCACTGTCCTTCCGGTACAAGCAACTTTTGATTCCTACGAAGCCAGGCAAGCCGAGAGAACTGCGGACCAGTGGGCGGAACAACTTACAAGGGTCACATTTTCTACCTGGATGTTTGCACCATTAAATAATGTCACTATTCCGCCTGTGCTATGTTCTCCCCTTTTATATATGCAAACGTTTCTGTATAAAAGGGTTGTCCTCAAGAGCCAATGCCCCTCCACCTCGTTCCCCGCCCACATGGTCTTTCCCCTGGAATTAAACTTTGAAAAATATTAAAACTGAAAACACCCATCTCATCCATTTCACAATAGACGTGAGCTCGAGTTTGCACCAAGTGGCAAATGGCATTAATTATAAGAAGAGATAAAAACTGCATCTCTGTCAGTCAGATGATTTATGAAATATCTACGATGTCAGTTACACAGCTTAACAATATACCCCAGTGTCGGTTCACCTTGAACGATCTTCGGGTTTCTTCACAAAACAAACAAACAAGGAATTTTCAATCGTTATTTTTGTATCGATACATTGCAAAGTTATTCACTTAAGAATAATTAAATGAATTTAATTAAGTAATTATTTTAGAGTAATTATATTTCGACTTATTTGCGACCCGTGACAATAATGCAAGCTGATCGTCACGTGTTTCAGAGGCACCAAATCGAGCTGAAGTAGGCCTAAGGGTGTTTTGAAGGAGATATAGATGCAGACGCCAAAAATAAAATAGTTTTTTCTTTTCCATTATTAAAATTAATATAAACATTGAAAAATCCTTAGGAAGAATAATATATACTTTGTTGCAGAGCACGGGAAAGAAGCTGACCATTTGTAATATACCATGTAATTCTCTCTCACTTCCAAACCGCGCAAATTCCAAATACACGTATCTAGATGACATTCCCCCCCCCCCTCCTTTTTGTCCTCTCTCCATGTTTTCCACGCCCAGTCCCAGTTTCAGTCTTTTCAGTTCGGACCGGGGACCTCGAAAAGGCAGCCGCCATGGTAGCGATGACGTCACCATTTCTACCGGTTCTTTTTCTGTCATCAAGCGGTCGAACTTGCCCACTCTTCAGGACAACCCTCTACATCCCTTGGTCATTGTAAATTATCGAATCTTGGCCCAGTCGGTGCAAAGCTGATCGGTTTTTAGTTTCTCCAAGGCCGTTTTACACGCTGAGGCACAAGAAATCGATAAGTTGTTATCGACAAGGACGTATACCGATTGCAACCATGTATCTCTGGAACAACCTGTCTTCACGGTACGAAAGCATAACCCATCATAATAATCATGATTTCCCTTGCATCTTTCGAGTGCAGAAAATGTACAGTTGGTGAATTCCAAAGCATTAAGACTATTGTCAAATAATGGTAACTACTTATTGTCCTTTATTATTTTTTTAATTTAGGACCGGACTCTGAAAGCCGCCTTACGATATGCCGACTGAAGGGATTAGTGGGGATTACAAGCTTATCTTTTCTAATTGTGTCTGGACAAAAGGGCTCATTTGAATATAACTGATGCTGGTGTCATAATAAAATTTGGACTGGTATATGCAACTGGAGCATTGTACGCATGATATAACCCAACACCTAAAAGTGCTTGAGGTATCACTGTTTTGTATAGCCACGTAGTTGGCAGCTAGACTAATATGATAAGGAAACTGTTTTGATTATGTCCATTTTTTTTTACGACACCAGAACGTACTTTTTTAACTTCATCTTTATAAATTAACTAAAGAGTGAGAAATTATCATTCTTACAAGTTTCAGCATTATTTTTGTTCTGAAATGTGAGAGTGTTTAATGGAATAAAAAAAAAACGTCCAAACTTTTGACAAACAAGGGTTGCTTGCCTCAAGGGGGCGCTGTTGTGCATCACACGGCGGCTCGCAAAAACTTTATCAAACCTTTTGCAATCGAATTTTCAGATCAATAAAATTTTAGGGTTTTTTTTTTTTTTGGGGGGGGGGGGGTCTTAAGGTACCATTAAACGCCGCCAATGACGTTAGATTATTTGGTAATCTTTTTCCTGGCCGCCCAAAGTAACAGCTTGCAAAAACAAATTTAGAATTCAATAAAACTAAATATAACGTCTTTCTAAAAATGACGAGCCAATGCTGAAAAAGGGTGTCTTTTGAGAAAAAAGGGACATTACAGAAAGACGTTTTTGGTCAGGTGAATAGGAGAGATCAAGAGTTATGAGAAGATACGCCAGAAGTAAGTAAAGCATGATATCGGATGAGGGCAGCCAAAGTTGTACAGAATGAACGTATAACATCATTATTGCGCGCACCAAAAAGAAATCAAAATCGAAAACGGCAGCGCATTAAGAGGCCAACATATGCAGAGAAAAGACTCGGCAAATATTTTAATAATAATCGTGTTTATTACAAATTATATATAGGCAAGATCAGTATCGTTGTACAGACAAAAACACTAGACGTGATACTAGTATGCAAAAGTGACGTTATCGTGTAAATATGCATATTCAAATTAGAATAATGAAAGCTTCGACGTAAGTGCAATATTTGAAAGACGTTCACATTTTTGAAAATTTCACCCATTCTATAAACCCTTATACCCGTTAAAACACAGAGCTAGGAACCCTATAGCTGTATGTTAAACGTCATGTATTCTGACAAGGAAATCAGTGAATGATTTTAACTCACAAAGTCAATTGTTTCTAGGTATAGGTTAGACTCCAGTGCAGTATTAAAAGTGTAGGATATGCTTAGCCTCCAACCCAAGGCGGCCAGTCATACAGACCTGGCCGGTCGTGGCATGGCATCAGTTGGGCAAAGCACGCCTAGCCTGGATATATGAGCGAATTTCTGGAGTAAAGCATTTCATAGCGCTTGATTCCATTGAAAATATGCTTTTCTTAGTGGCAAAAGGGATAAAGGCAAACTGAATATTTTATATTACTGGAGTTTCTGTATCTTAGCCGAAAGATCGTTTCTTTCTATTGTTTTGTCTGCTGAGTATTATAACAAACTTGCAGACATCACAACATGGCAGATACAGACACATTACAGCAAACACTTTTTTTCACAACCCTTCAGCGCCATTTTGTTTAGCATTTTTGTTTTTTGAAAAACTGGTTCATTCTGATGATTTCGAGTATTTTTGATAAAAGTGTTTGGCTTTTGAGAATGATTGGTCAATGGCCTTTGTGGTTTTATCAATAGTGAGGTCTGGGCCTATAAAACTCGGCTTTGGAGTACACAAAACACTGCCTTGCAAGATTAATTTAAAGTTATAATCAGAAAACGAAGAATGAAAGACTTCATAGTCAGCATAGTTATTACGAATGCATAATAAGTCATAATAAGATCACCACTCAACATGCAGCAGCCATCTTGGTCTGGTGTCAATTCGAATGCAGTGAGCATCCTTATGATATGAGTAGAATTACAGGGACCAGACTACCTAACCTCATGAGTCTCATGGCCGAGTACAGTAAGACATCAAAATGGCTGCCTCTCACTCAAAACCAAAGTTATACCTTTCAGCAACTAAAATGCTTCAACATGAATTCTTATTGAAAGACATGGTCCTTACACAAGTTTTTTTGGGGGACCTTTTTACACATATTTCTCATTATGAATCAGATTTTGTTCAGTACAATCTGTGTTTTGCTGATTTGAGAACACAATTGCTATTGGTTGGGAATATTTTTTGAAACAGCCATACGTTAAATTACAAAATTGAATGTAGACAAGACTAAAACACTTTGTCAAGAGCATGAATAATATGATCTAGTATGAAAAAGGATATTTTACATCGAGTTAAATATTCTTTCAGTTAACTGTATCCATCGTATGAAAAAGTCATAACTTCAAAGTGCTAATTTGAGACATCAATGTTGGCCAAACCATCTCTGATATTGAATTCCATCTTCTTCTTTTTTAACTTTTTGAAATTTAAAATCCCTCCTAATTTAGAAAAATAGGTAATGCATAAGGGGCTTATTTATAGAGCTACCCAACAGACATTTATATTGCCAAGCAAAAACTGTGCTTAGCACAAACTAGTTGTGAACCAGTGACAGTCAATAAACACTGTATGATATTTTGGCTGGTAACCGTTGTTGCTAAGCAACTGTTTGTTTTTGTTTAGCAATTTCCCACTCAGCAGCTCCATGAAACGCCAATGGTAGATTTTAAACAGCGCCCTCTTGTGTTCTTAATGACAACAACAGAGTGTGCAGTTATTTTTTCTAGTACATGGGTCATTCTATACATTTGGGATCCACTTTTTTTCCTGTCCCTGTTATATCCGACATGTACAACTTTGTAAATTCTGGATGAACTCCTCAATGCCTTTTTTCCCACTAAGTGTGATTAAGTAAAGCAAAATATGAAAATAGTTTAAATTCTTTTTAATGATACTTGAGTGGAAAATGAAAAAGTAAAAGGGACAGGAAAAATGTCACCCTTTATTTATAGAAATGGCCCAGATGAATCTGCATAGTGCTTTACAGACAGTTCAACATGACTCGGCAGTGCGTGCACGCACATACATCATAACTGAAGTTCTACTGTGTGGAGAAAGACATGTAGTGTTAATATCAGCACTTTAAACATGATCTTACAAAGCCTTTGACTGGATTTACTCATGAAAATAGTGCCTTTACATAGCAATGCAGCTTTAAAAATATGAAGGAGAAAATACTGGAATACTTGTGAAATATTCTGTCAATTTTCTGAATCTAGACAAGAAATGATAACTTTCAAAGAAAATATTAAGTGCTTAATATTCCACTTGTTGGGAAAAAAAGAAGGAATAAAGAAAAATGAAAATGAAAATGCACCATTGATTGAACAGGTCGTGAACATCAAAAAGTGTAGAGAAAGAAACGTGGTGTATGGGAAAAGGTGCAAAAACATTTACTAGTTAACTTTTCAGCAAATTTTCTTCCAGTTATTTCAAGTACAAAATTGTGCTTTTCATCTGTCACACACAAACAAAAAAATCTTACAGAAATTTTAAAGTGGTTTATCTGCAAAACCGATATCAACACTTGTATCATCACAATAAAAAAAATCTGGTTCACTTTGATCTTGCACGATTTAAACTGTGTTTTGAACTGAATTTGAAATTAAAAGCTGTTCATAGGTTTTTTTCACCGTCTGATAAAATGCTCTCGTAAATTATACACAAACAAGTAAGTATGGAAAACATACGAAACACAATTATACATTTTGATTCCAAAAATAGTCTGTACAATTTTCACCTTCAACAAAATCACAGTATCCTCTGCTGAGCTTCAAATTACTGATGACAAAATGGAATTTATAAAAACAAAACCCTTCGAATGAATACAATTAGTTTTCAGCCATGATGAAGTCAATTCAAGAATAAAAAATAAAACTGTTTTGTGAGCAGAATTTGAAGATTTCAGTTAATCACTGGATGCTTTCAATTTTTGATAATTGTTTAAAATAAAAAATCAACCCTCCCTAAAAAGAAATCCGAAATCCAACAGATGTGCAGCAAAAAAGATACTGAAAAGAGTAATTTGTAGCTGTACATAGAAAATAATTTTCTGATGATAATGTAACTGGACACAAACCGATGAAATGTTAACGATATTTGAGGAAAATTATCATCACCTTCAGCAGATATTTCAGATCCTTTCCACATGTACATCGAGGGATCCAATATATCCTCCGGACTTTGTTTTTTTTCACCCTTAATTACGTCTTCCAGATCTTGGAGTTAACATGAACATCACTGCACCAATTGAAGTGTTGAAAGCGACCGGTGGATCCATTGAACACACAAAATAAACACACCACCAATAAGTCTAGTTGTGATTTGTGTTTTTCGTGGTTTTGTCCAGTTCAGTTCATGAACAGCACGGCACCATTTGAAGTGTTGGACAAAGTTAGTGGATCGCCCGAACTAACATAATAAACATATCATCCATACGTCCACTTGTGATTTTGTTTTTCGTTGTTCTGTGGAGTTCAGTTCAGGAGATTAGCGTACAAAGTTCGTAGTGCTCCACTCTCTCCGGTAGTCATTTAACAGTAGCTGAGCGACTCTGGTCGACTTTCATTCGCTGCATGCGCTTGGTGACCTCGATGTCGTCCTCGCTCAAGGCCGTCCGTTTCTCCGCTCTGCGTTTCCGCATCAAGAGGGCGTTTGGGTTTGTCAGGGTCATTGGGGTCGTAGGGGTCACTGGGGTCGTGGCTGACGTCGGGGTCGCGCCCGCGGATCTGCTGACTGGCTTCCGTGGTCGGGGGTCTTTGCCGGGCCAGACGGCTAGTAACGAATCCTCCCCACCGGTGATCAGACACTCAGACTGTGGAAAAGATTAGGTTGGAACATTTATAACAACAGTCGACTCTCGTTATACAAAGACTGTTATCACAAATTCTGGTTCTTTAGCAAAAACAAAGCCTAGGTCCAAGCCAAGGGCGGATGGGGGGGGGGCCAACTGGGGCCATGTCCCCCCTCAAAAAAAGAAACAAACCCAATTTTTTTTTTTTTGGTGCAATAAAGGCAGGCACTGCGTACACTACCATCTTTTCCTCAAAAAGATTTGGTTAAAGTGGTCAGAAATTGCCTCAGACCGCACCACACAGCATCTAGAATCTAAAACAATTTGGGACCCACTTTTGGGGGGACCAAATTGTTTTGGGCCCTCCCAAAAATTGTGTTCTGGATCCGCCCTTGGTCCCAACAGTACATTTATGTGCACAATGAATGGGACCGACACTCCACTTAAAGGTCAATGAACCATCGAACTATGCCCTGCTATTTACACCCTGCAAAGACCCAAACTGCCATAACTTGAACATGCAGTGTGGCATTGGAGAGGAAGACATTAGCCTTTTAAAGGTATTGCGGACAAAACAGGTTGTTTGAAGGTACAGTTTCAAAATGCTCTTATTTTAACCAGAATTAATTTCCTTGAAATTCGGACTTAACCCTTTCCTAAAACTCTACCATTTGCGACGGATTAACATACCTTGGAAATTCCTAGTTTTTGAGTAAAATCCATGTATCTATTTCGTGAAAACCTTGTGGAGACGTATTCATCTATAGAAATTGCCCTGTGGAGACGTATACAATCTTTTGTTCCCTTTTGTGTGCATGTCTCCAGAGGGCACGGTGTATCAGATCACAAAGAGTTCACACACTCCAAATAGCGCCCTCATATTGTGTCCAGGCTAGTGTACAAAGTGGGCGGGGCTTAATGGATCGTCTATTGTTGACTCAGCTTCATGCCCGAGTGCTACTCACCATGTTATCCCAATTTAGGCAACGGACCATCCCGCTATGTGCACTAGGAAGGGACCGCACCTTATGCACTCTATCACGACCAACCGTCAACAGGTTCAGATCACCACTGCAATCAAACAAACAAACCTATTGCATTAACAATGCAACATGTCATTTACTGCAGATAAAACTATTATTTGACAGTGTGACAAAACTGTTACAACGACTTGCCATTTCAAGTTTCACCCCGAAGTACAGATTTTATTTTTTTAAATTGCCATTTTTTAAGAAAAGAAACCATGGACTTCAAGAAAAATTACTACGAATTTCAAATGTATATGCAGCCTGATTATAATTCAGGAGAGATACATACTTTAGGGGTGTGCATCGGCACCGGGTACCCGACTCCAAATAGCGCCCTCACATTGTGTCCAGGCTAATGTTGTTAGCCCATGCAACATTGGTACCCGAGACCCGATTCCGATGTCAGGTTCCGATGTCAGGAACCGGTTCCAGATTATGGGATCAAGTACTCATAACCAACATTACAAATTAGGTAGAAACGTTTTCAGACAATGAAAAAGAAAGTTTTTCAACACCAAAACAGATTCCATGTTTAAGTGCATTTTCAAGTGCGACAGATGACGCTCCGGGATTTGAATTTTGGGGTTGGGTTTGGGTACGCGGGTACCCGTGTGTAATCACAATAATCATCCCAGTACCTGTACTACCCACAAATGCACACCATACTGATTAAATAATTGAAAATTTGATACGAGAAAAAAAAGGGAAATTAATTGATCAGCACTGGGACAGCAACTAAGTGTCATACTGCAGTCTTGGGATACTTACAGACTGCAATATAAATGACTTGACCACAGCTCTGAAAATTTGCCAAACAATGTCTTGAGACTTACTTAAATGATCCCCCGACAACGACCAGAGATTTCATCGGTGCATGGTAGAAGCAATCCACCAGGTAGTCCACTTTACACTGATCCTCCTCCTACCAGAAACAAAAGATTCAGATTCTCAAAGTGGGCCAGGAACCAAATAAATTTCACACAGAACACAAATTCTATGTCAATATCCACAAGTCTGACTTTAACTGCGACAACTTATACTTTTTATTTAGGCACATATTTTCCTTGAAACTTGATGGCACTTGATGAAACTTGTTGCTCCGATTTCACTTTAGGCACTCAGTTTTTTTACAAGATAATGAAATCACAAGGAATTCAAAAAGCAAGATTTGACCTTGCCAAAAAAATCATGTCCCTTTTTGTACTTGAACAGCCATGACATCACTTTTCAGACATCACTTGATTTTCTTGCTTGTTTATTTTCCATTGTTCCAATACAAAACTGAAGAAAATTTAAAATACATTCGTATCATCAGCATAAAAAATATATTACCTTAAAAAAAAATCACTTATCTAAAAAACACCCCTTCCCATGGTCAAACCACCATCCCACCCGACTCAACCCCCTCCGGACCCCCCCCCCCCCAAAAAAAAATATTTGCTGAACTTACTGCAAGCTTTTCTCTGACATCATCAAATCTTGTGAGCACTGATGACTGTGTGTGAAGAAAAAAAGAAACTACTTCAATATTCTGAAGTTAAAAACAAAGTCTGTTAAGGAATGGGTCACACTCTTAACTGGAGAATAGGTAATGCTCTAAAAACTGAAGTCACTGGTAAATCACAAGTCATGCAAATCTCAGGTCAAGTCACAGATTTTTCAATTGAACGGTGACAAAGGTATTCCTTTGTCACCGTTCATCCCATTACATGTGACTTTACTTGTGACTTGACTCATTATTGACTTGTGACTGAACTTGTGATTTGAAATGTGAACGACTTGTGACTGACTCGTATTTGACTTGTGACTGACTTGTGATTGAATTTGTGATCTACTTGTGATTTGAATTGTGACTGAATTGTATTTGACTTGTGACTGACTTGTGATTGAATTTGTGATCCACTTGTGATTTGAATTGTGATTGACTTGCAACTGACTTGTGATTGACTTGTGATTGACTTGTGATTGACTTGCGACCGACTTGTGATTTGAATTGTGATTGACTTGCGACTGACTTGTGATTGACTTGTGATTCAGCTTGTGATTGGACTTGTGATCATCTTGTGACTGACTTGTGATTGACGCAGATTAACATCACAACTGTTGTCATTACCTCCACAGCATCCCAGATGAGTATCGTCTCTGTATGTGTCAAACAGTAAAGATATTCGTTGTTGGATCCACACCAACCTATGCGACTCTAAAAGGAAAAAACAACACAATTAAATGTCCGGATAATTATATAATATTGGATGGCTTTGAGGAGGACACAAGAATATATTGCAGGAGCTGTAACAATATTTCAAGAGTCAAAGACAAGTGCAATATTGATAGCGAGTGTGTAAAGTTTGCGTGAAGATCAATTTAAAATCTATACTATTTGGAAACCTGATATAAATAATAAAAGATAAATATTGTTGTATTAAGCCCGGTTCATACTTGGCGCGAAAGCGAAAGCGAACACGAATTTGTTACATCATGGCAAGTATTTGCGCTGCAAATTCGTAAAAGTTGAACACATTTCAACTTGGGCGAATTTCGCAGCGGACGTTTCTTGACGTCAAATTCGCTTCGCATACGCATTCGCGCAGAGTAAGAACCGGGCTTTAAGCATGGTTTGATTGTAGGGGTGATGTGGACCTAAATCCTACTCACCACGGAGGACTCCGAGTTGAGAGTGGTGACTAAAGCGTCTTCCTCGCTACTCTGACTGATGTCAAACAGACAGACCAGACCGTCCGTTGACCCTGTCGCTAAGCTCTCTGGTTTGCTGGGATGAAATCGTACCTATGAAGACCAGGCAACAAAAAACAGGGGTAAGAAACAATTTCAAGTAGACATTTGTAAAAGGGAACTCGGATACAGATAACCTGGGAACATAAACATGTACACTGTACCTTACAACCAAACATTTTATGTGGAACTTGTATATGTAACTAATTTTAGTAATATAAATCAAAATTCATATTATTACATAATTTTTTTAATAATAATTTTAAATCAATTCAATCGTGTACAATTGTGCATGATAAGATGGTGGAGTAGTACAAACAAGTAAGTTTTCTTTTACTGAGAAAAACACACCGCAAATCACATTCAAAAAATAATAACCACATTTCGCTACCAGATAGGAATTAACAAATTTGCATTCCACACACACCAAATTACAGACAGAAGCGTTTCGGACACAAGACGTCACATGTTTATCACGTGCACACGGGATACACGTGCATGTTTGCAAACAGGAGCATCGGTAGCCGTGACAAAAAACATCGTCTGACGTACATGCAACGTGAATGGAAGGGTCGGAATGGGTGACAACACAGACACGTGTCTGTACAGATGCTTTTGACAAAAACAAGCCTCTTGAATTTGCCGGTCTTGCGTTCTGCATAAAGACCAGTTGGTACTTCACGCTAATTTTAGTGCAGAGTGAATTTGTTAGGAATCCAGTGAACGTCACAACTACGATTGTTGATGTCATTAAGTCACTTTGCTTTCGCTAAGTTTGGACTGGCCTTAGAGATAATTACATCAGTGCGTTGAATGACTGTTATTTTTCAAAGCTTAAATTTGTTAAGGTCCTATTCAAAACAGACAAGGGTTTTCCATGATCATTAGGAGCTTTTCCTCTTTTTGAAGCGTCCATGATCATGAGCTGATCAAGCGAAAAAAATCCTCATTATTGTGAGACAGAGTTTAGCAATTTAAATCCCACATTTCATATGTAGCAAATGCACATAGCTTTCATACACCGCACATTTTAAGCCTGCGACACCAGAATTATGCCTTTATCTGACAAAAACTAAAATATTACACAACACCTGAATAAATCCTTGTTGACTGACTGGCGGTCGTGGATCACGTCATTGAATTATTCATCCAACCCACAGACCAGCCGCAGGGCAAAAATAGAAGTTCCGTTCCACGGTAAATAGAAGATCCATTGCACGGTCACAGTATTACCAATCAGATGACAAGGATTTATTCAGATGTTGCATAAAACAGATAATGAATGTTTCACATTCGTGCAATAGAAAGAATGCAATATTCCATTCCACTTAGTGGACATTTCTTCTAGTGTCACTTCATGTAATGATTCTTACCGTTGCACTCATAAACATTAAATTTTTGCATACTATCAAACAGCTTTCCAGTGAAACATTCATGGAGTTGGGTTTATGATATACAGTAGCGCTTTAAAGGTACAATCCAAACAAACCACTGACTTATGTATGCGCCATCATAATTAACCATTAAGAGCATCCATTAGTGATGCACATCAATTAGACACGGTCGTGACGCAGCTTAGAGCTGCCATTTTATGTAAACTACCCAACCCATCCAGCAAACGTTTGGCGGCATCATACGTAATGAAGGATAAGCGCTTGCTTTTAACAACATGTAATTCTATAATCACTTTGTACACAGCGCTGTTAAAAAGAATCACGAATGTTTGCGTCGGGGAGTTCTGAATTCAATATCGGGTAGTGCCAATATAATTTTAAAAATTCACAAGCTTCCTAAGATTTATGGACAAGAAGGGGAAAACCCAATATTTACGTCTCTCCGATGTGAGATTTTATCAAAGGAGGAGGTAAACTTGTCCAATCATGAGTGAACTTGTCCAATCATGGGTGATTATCTAAAGTACATGTACTTCGGGGAAATCATAAACTTGAGTTGACAAAAAACAAATATTTACAAAGAAAGATAATATCTTATGAGCACTATACATGTACATCACAAGCATGCATTCACGTCTGGATGGATATTCAATGTGAGTACCACACGAAGGAGAGAGTGGGGGGGGGGGGCTATATTCATTCAAATATTTTACGTAAGACAAACTGTACCTGTACATTCTTTACATTAAGAAACAATACTAATGCAGAAATCACTAATCGTGCAATTAAACCATGCAGTGAAAATACACGTAGTTACAATGACAACGGTTACAATATTAACTCATGCACAAGTACACGTCAAGTACCTGTTGAATGACAAATGGATTTTGCTGTTTGATGAAGTCAGGAAACAAGACAGAGACAGGGGGAAAAAATCGAAAAGTCGATGAATATTTATGAAATATTAAACAAATCAAAGATGCTTAGGAAATGTTAGCGTTCAGCAGAGTTCAACCGAGGACCAGTGACAAGCAGTATGCATTGCATGGCACTTTGACTGGTAACCGAGTTTTGCTAAGCAATCATTTCCTGTACTAAGCAGCTTCATAAAATTGGGTTTTTCCAGTGACTCCTCAAGAACGATTGCTCAATCAATTCTGACAGAAATCGTGCCGTACTTGTTCAACCATGCCTCAAAAAGCACATTCGCAATCACCACACTTTCAAGAGGCAAACCCATTCTCAAGCTATTTAAGCAATGCAAGTTCGTGGAGATCTTTCCAATATTGGACATTACTGACTCGCTCACTTGCACACCAGCATGCATCTTAGGCATTCCACATTATCCGTTCACCTTCAGTGACGTGTTTCAGAAAGTACAAGTACCTCTTCACCTCAGTCACATGTTTTCCGCACATGTGACTGCTGCATTCACATAATTGCAAAAAACCCATTATAGTTAAGCCCAACTTGGATTAGTCAAATTGATATGAGCTCAATGTAATTTCTAAAATGGATGTAGGGGGGACACAAAACCATTAACAAGATGCAAAGAACGCTAAATACTAGTTCATACTCGGCACGAAAGCGAAATTGGACGCTAATTCGAAAAATTCAACAGGCTTAATCTCTGGCGAATTTCACAGCGAATGTCACATTCACTTTGGATTGACTTTCGTGTGACGTATGAACTGATCTTAAGTACAGCGAATAACCAATTCAAACCCATCTATACAGGACCCAAGGGACTTTTGAGTAATCACGCCATTTTTGTAAAAAGGTTTTATTTAACAAACGGGCTCGTAAAAATACACAAAATATCTCTGAAGCCAGTGGATTACGTTGTTAATTTCTTTCCCTCGTCTGGTTTATGAAGTCCTTGCACTTTAAAGTAGGTGCATATAGATTCCGAGTTTAAATCCTTTATAAGACTATTTGCAATTCATATGTAAACGTACTTTTTGTGTCACTTCTGCTGAACTTCTTGTTGTACTTGTAAAATTTCCCCATTCTTCTTTTACAAATTCAAAAAAAAAATTCACAAATTTTGACCTTCTTTAGTAATTTTTTGAAGGGAAAAAACCCTCGGACTCTTCAGAAATTGCAGCATAGCCACACCTGATTGTCTTCAATAAAATGGCTGATTTCCCTTTTCTAACACCCCCCCCCCCCTTCTCCAAAATTCTCAACTTGCTCTTATTACGGCTTCTGCATAGTTGGTAAACAATCTTGTATCTTCTTCAACATCATTATGCAGCGTACAAAGCACATGTATTGACCATCAGTATACAGAATTCTCATTTCCTTTTGGTTTATATTTCGAGCATGGCAAAAATGACAACTCTGTAATTACCATCATGGCAAAAACAATGACAGAAAACAAAAGTCGAGAACAAGTCGAGAATTAATGTGTTCATTATGCGCAAAGATTGATTTAAGTACTGTAGGAATAAGAAGTGTGAGCACTATTTCTGCACAAAATATGATTTATTTTTTTTATATTTGAATCTTTGCTTGCATTTTGGGTTTTTTTTTCCAGTTTGATATCTCACTGAAAATATAATTTTTAATTTCATGGGTTTTTTTAAGGGGGGAGGGGACCAATGCAGCACAAGCAGTAATGCAATTGATAGATTTTTATTAACGTTCTTTATTTAAAGGAAAGATTAAATGAATCACTTAAGCATTTCCCCAACCCCTCCCGAAATCTCAATATTTGCCTCCTTTCATCGGCAAGGATATAACATCCCTCAGTAAGTGACATCGCCGGAACGGTACAATACGCACTACTGGCAGCGTCAAAAGCACTGCTACGCACCGACTCACTCCCCGGCAGTTTTGTTTAACGATCAATTATGCGGGGCTCAGGGCTCAGCGCTCAGGAACCCAAGGCACTTTAACCGTTCCATGGAATAATACAAACATCATTTGCTGTATCAACAAGACGGCGAAAAACCGGGTGTCACGGCACCGAGAATGAGCTGATGTGAGTGTGGGAAGGCGGAGGGAACTGACAAGGACGATGACGTTTCCCCTGCTGTCCTTATCATGTAACTTCCTCCTACAAGAACAATTGCTTGCTGCCTGCAATGTCTTTCCTATTTCCTGCTCTATTTACCTGTGTAATGTCGTCTGAGTGTGATTCCTTGTAGGCACCAAGGAGATTGGTTGAGCGACAGTCCCTGTATTGACAAACAGATGAGAAAAATCATTAATCAACTGTTGACAAATGCCAAAGGAAGCATTTTCTTTACATCAAGTATGTTATGGTATATCGTGGAAATTGTATAACCCCAACCCCACCCCAACTCACATATCTCCTGTTTAGTTTTATTTTCCTAATTCCAATAAGACACCCCAGTAAATGACTTTACAGACAAACCCTAATAGTACCGAGAACCACAATGTACTGCATGGAACAGTACGGTAGTTCATGGCAATCAAACTGTAACAGAGTACACAGCAAATCCATCAACGTTTCACATTCTAAGGACAGGGAGCACTAAGCCGAGCTCTCTCCGCTAATGAACTCTCTCCTTTCTCTCATCAATCCTTTTCCATTCCTCATCCCCCTTATGTCATCTCATTCCTCATCCTGCTCTCTCGTCTCTTCCTTTCTCCGTCTTGCATCCAGGGCACTGATGGGTTCATCTATCATCAGTAAGACGGGCAAGCCTAGACATCTTTGAGCAGGAGGCAGATGGCACTCGTCTTAAGTTACACCACTCCCGCTGTTTCGTCTTTTATTATAATTAGCACAGTTTTTTATAAGTCAACATTTTTTGTCTTGTTTTTTCCAGGATCTGCGCCGCTATCACTTGTAAGAACAACAAAAAAACAAACACAGTTTGCACATGTACATCATATGGAATACTTGTGTCACCACTACAGAAAATATGCAAGTCTTTTTTGTCGTTAAATGCTCTTCATTCTTTACATTTTGGTGTCTATTTTGTTATTCTTCACTTCTCGAAACAACAGTTATATGTTACTAAGGCCAAAAAAAAGTCTCTGGTATGCGCGCGCGTCGCCGTAGCCATGCGCATCTGCAAAATGAAAAAGTTTTTTTTTTCAATGAAAGATGTCTCAAAACCGCCAAACTCACTGGTTTGACTGGAATCCTGCTGCTGCACAATTTTAACGTGTTTTTAGACTGGGTTATGGTCGAGAATAAGCTTTATGTGGCCTCTCTGGACTCCCATATATTTGCACTAAGTTTAGTCGGGCACCATTTGCAGTCATCAGCCGACATTTGAAGCAAAAAAATCAGGTAAAAAAAAAAAAACAGCCGCGTCGCCGCACCACTTTTTGGGCAAGCTCCATACCAGAAACCGGAGACTTTTTTTTTTTGGCCTAATGATCATATTACTGATTAAAATCCACTTTTCATTTTGTAATAGTACCATGTCATAACACTATGCTGTTGTTTTAGTCAGTGTGTATACATGTAAAACGCGTCCAGAATAACAAAAATAGAAGTCGGTTTATACTCTGTGAATCAGGCAAACAGAATCTGGAGCCTTGTAGAAATAGGAGACATACTTGACTTGTTTTTGTCTGATTCCTTTTGCGTTTTCCCAGCAATCAAGGACGGCGCAAAGAAAACCTTGAAAGTTGGCAAGATCAACACTGCCTCACGACAGGGGGGAAAAAACATCAACATCCCGCTGCAATCTTCGGCTCCTCTCGTCTTAGCATAACGGCCCGAAAATCAATAACTCCCACGTTTCCTGGGATGCTGGTTTGTTGTCACGGCAACCACAGCCCAGGCCTACGGGGAGATAACCACGGAAGGGGAGGGTTTGCACACCACATTTGTCAATCACCCGCCTCCGGCATTTCGGAAGGAACACATCCGGGGAAACATACTCACGATAGCATTTATTAATACGGTTCCTGCTCAGTTGCCCCAGGCAGAAATCGTGTTGAACTTGATTTGGATGCAGAATCACTGTACTTATAAATATGCTATGTCCCAAAAATCCCTAAACCCTTTGATCATTTCTGCTAAGATCCCTCCTAAATCCACAAACATCCATTGCTGTACAACAGCCTTATAGTTCGGTCATTTCATCAAGTAAAAAAATCAACCCCTGTGTATGGCGACAGTGGCTGAGCCCCATATTCCTTTATCCATAAAAAAAACCTGCAAAAACTGGTTGTGGATTTTCATGAGTTCAGGGGCCAATTTCACGGCGCTGCTAAGCACAAAAATTTGCTTAGCACAAGAAAGGGCTGGCTTATAAAAGCAGGTTACCAGCCAAAACTTCACGTAATATATATTGCTCGTGATGAGTATTCAGCTGTTGTTTACTTAGCATGAAAACCACATGGCGTTTTGGCTAGTAACCTGCTTTTATAAGCCAGTCTTTTTTTTTGTACTAAGCAAATTTTTGTGCTTAGCAGCGCCGTGAAATATTGGGCCCAGATAACCATAAAAAAAACACAAAAAACACTGGACTTAATTATACAAGTTCATTTGAAGATTAATTTACTGAAATTCCTAACTGTTTGTACAGGTATCCTAAGCTGAATACTTTGTTAGTAATTCAGTGGGTTCTGGAATGCAAGTCAACAAGACAGAGGAAATGAACTGAGGAATTTGGAGGTCCCAGAACAAATGAATATACGACACAGCAGCGAAGGAAACAGCGATGTTGATCCGAAATCAGGCAGTTCTTACGTCGGGCCTGAAAGGGCAGTAATTGCACACAAGTGGGTCCATTTTGTAAGGATGTTCATGAAGCAGATTCTCAGAATTACATTCTTGCTACATCAGCTGCCGGATGGGAGTCTAAGAACGTCCTGCAGGGTCCAACTGCATATAGCAGGGGTGTGAGTGACCACTGATAAAAATAGTTGAAAACAGCTGGAAAAAAGGCGTAAAAAAGCTGCAATTTGGAAAACTCCTATACTTTTGTACACAGCAAGTGAGAGGAAAAAAGCTGAAATCCAGAACAAAAAAAGCTGAAATCAGCTGTAAAGCTGAGATTTTACACCCCTGATATAGAGCTGTTTAGCAGACAATATTTAAGCAAATTTGATGCACTGAGAAATGATAGGCGCTCTGGCAAAATGAAACAGAACTTTAATAAAATAAAATAAAAAACACCTCAATTCGTTTTTTTTTTTTTCTCCATTTTTTCTGCACTACAGCTTGTGTCCAGTTCCGTCTCAGTTTGTCCGAACGGCTCATAAATATCCGACGCGAACCAGTCAAAACTATATGCATCACGTGGCATTTTAACTGGTTACATGTTGTTTTGGTAATATAATTTCTTTCCATTTGAACTTTCTGTCCTTAGCAGTTGAATGGCGTTGGATCCTGGAAGGCAGGCAATCTAAAATTGATAGAATCTGGAAGGAGATCCAGCAGGTTCTGGCGCAAATTAAACCTCAGCACAGACCCCGGAATTTGTGCAGCACTTCGGGCGCTACGACTGCAGCAACACCGAAAATCCATTATTCAAATTTGACTCGCCGGAGCTCAATTCAGGAAGGCAACAGGCTGAATCCAAGGGACTATTCAGGCATAAAGCCGGGACACAGATGATTAGAACCCAGAGGGGGAACGTCGATACAAACCAAGTTGGTTAAGGTCGGCAAGACTGTCCTTATGAGAGCAGGCAAAGAAATATGAGAAGAGATTCAGAAAAGTGTAAGGCGTTCATGCTGAATTTGCGTGAAAATTGGCCTTTGAGTGGCCTTGGCCTTGTGTTTGGGTGGTGTGAGTATTAACGTTCGTCGCCTGTTTCACCAATGCGCTTTTTCCTTATGAGTTTAACTTTGTTTTAACATTATTAAATAATATGTAATGTGTGCAGGGCCCCAATGGTGACCAGTTTTAAACTGTATTAGGCATACATGTACCCTGAGTAAAAAAAATGGACTAAACAAATAAAATACCCAAAAAAAGGATATATAGAAATGCCTCCTTTCTATATCCCTGGTCTTTTTGACATGAAATACACGACATCGCCAAAATCCTAAACCTCACTTTGCAGTACCTTGATGAAATGAATGCACGGCACAGTACTATTAGTGTTCAAGTGGAAACTTCTTTAAAGCTGATTCTGTACTTCCCTTGAGGCATTACGACTTCCTTTATATCACTCTTCTGCCTGACATGACCCATGCATCTGACATACCGTACCACCTGTTCTTCTGCGACTCTTGGCTAGTTCAAACAGGCAGCAGGTACTTAATTAATTACACTACACTCCTCATCGATTGCTCCGACTGATACAATTGTAGTCAATTGTTAGTCTCTGAGAGTTCCAAACCGGCTTTAGAAATATTTGTCATTGCTGTGTATGTATACAGTTCCCCCCCCCCCAATAATGTCACTTTTACTAGAAATAAATCGTTATTCCTGCCAGAGTTGTATAACCTGAGTACAGGACTCAAACTTGAGTTTGTCTTGACTTGCAATTCGGTGACTCAGATTTCAGTCGCATTCACAAAATACTCAGATACGGACTCAACTATCGTGACTCAGACTCGACAATGAAGACTCCTGACTCGTGAGTGACATATTCTTCACCTGTAACATTTTTTAAAATAATTTTTAAAACAACAGGCAGATTGAAACCATGGAGGACAAGCTAAAATTGTAGTCCATGGCCGCCTGCTCTGAAAAAGGAATTTTACCAAAACGAAAATATTTGTTCATGTTTGTTATTCACATCTAATTTGAAATGGAAAAAAATAGCAAATTTTCAAAATGTATTGTTCTTATTCTGATCCCTAACTAGTGGCTGTTGACCAATGACTTGGTCCCCTGCCTTTTGACTTGAGTTTTCGTCAGCGAGCCAACCGTTTCAGGCCTTGAAATCCCATCTGAAACAACCATGACTATAATTTAAGCATACACATAAAGGCAACTTGTAGATTAACGCAACCACAGACAAAAAAAACTTGTCTTCGGGGACACATTTAAGCCATTAAAACCATCAAGTTACAATTTCCCCAAAGGCATCCAGGTCCGCAGACAAACTAAACCGATTTTTAAAAAATGAACAGATTGGTCCCGGGAGATAGATTAAGTTCACACCTCGTGGGTATTTGTATTCCATTTCCAGCCAGCAAATCAACGCAACTGTCGCATTATTCAAGACTTGCGATTTGAACGGCACGTTACGCATCCCAAGGCAATTCCCAGAATGTCTCTCGAGCTTCGGATACTTCAGCCTTCGCCTCGAGTCTGAACCGACCAGAATCCAATTAAATGAATAAAGAGAAGCTTCCAATAAAGAGAAGCTTCTAATAAAGAGAAGTTTCTTGATTGGAACTCTTCCCGCAAGGCACACACTTAACCTTATTCTCAGGTTTCCTGATGGATTTATTTTTGGTTTTATAAGTGTTCCTCTTATTCAGCAAGAGTCAGGCTTAATCAACACCTCACTGTAATTATGACAAGTGAACACAGACAGGCAGTTCAAGTAGAACGCTGTGCGTCATGAGCAATTCAAATCAACCTTAGGCTAAAGTACTTCTGACTGACACGCAACGACAATGAAAAAAAAATGTAAAACCTCAAGCCATTGCAATCTGTTTGGAAAAAACTTGTAAATTCGAGGAAAAAATTGAAACAAGACAGCTGAACTAAACTATAGAGAACAGTTACACGACCTATCCGGGTCACTACCTCAGCTCAAAAACAGGCATGAGAATGACTTTTAATGAAAAAAAAACAGGAAACTTGTGCAAAATGGAAAAAAAAGATGTGAAATCAGGCAAAAAGCCCCAAAACAGGCTCAAAACAAATAAAAACGCAGACAGGGCAACAAGAAAAAAACACAGGAATTCCTGTTTAAACAGGAAGATTCTCAAGCCTGCAAAAAAAAGGCAGCGGGAACGGACCAGTGTCTGCAGAGGTGTTGCGATCGTGCCTTCTATTTTTCTGTTGATCACCGTAGTACGGAGTAGGGGAGTTCTAATTACCCCTATTGTTGTTGCAATGCTGAAGGATTTTCCTGATGGCCAAGTTGTACGCGTAGTCGAGTCCTTACAAATTTAAAGGTCAATCATCGGTCTCCAGTCACGTCACGAGCTACAAGCTACGTACTCAAATGAACTTTGTAAAAGGCTTTCTGTTGTCATTGTTCATCTCATCTTATTTTGCAGCCTTGCTTAAAAGTGATTTGACTAGCGATTGACTTGTGATTGACTTGTGACTGACCTGTGATTGACTTGTGATTTGACTAGCAATTGACTTGTGATTGACTTGTGATTTGTCTAGTGATTTGACTTGTCATTTGATTTGTGATTGACTAGCGATTGACTTGTGATTTGACTTGTGATTTGCCACTTGTTATCGACTTCACTACAGCTCAGTGACTCGTGAAGAATAGTCGCAATCGGTTCGCAAACTTTGAAATCATGCCAGTGAGACAAGTCTGACCACCGAAAATAAAACCTGAAAATAATTGTAGACTAAGGACTAAACTTCAACACAGCAGACAGTGCCTAAGGAACGCTAGAGGGCTGGACAAATACGAGGAGAAGCAATCATATTTCATTAGATTTCAGCACGCAGCTGCCCATCTGTTGATCGATGTGTAAGCTGCAACATTCAGGCTCCGGCGTTCTACTAATCTCCCACAGGGAAGAATTTGAAGAAAAACATTCAACATGAGCAGAATTTTTTTTTTTACATTTTGGTAATCAGATATGCAAAGCAACAAACAAGCAGGTGATACTTGGCATTCTCAACTTTCAATTAATTACTTCCAAGTTTCCATTAATTTTCACGTTTCAATTTCATTTTGTTCTCTTTGACAGAGGATCTGTTCGGCTGCCTGGGGGGCTTAAGACAGGAAAGAAAATCCTTCCCAGCAAAGTCTGGCTTCAGTTCGTGTCACAGGTGGATGCCAAAAATGGACACACAAAAAATGCACACATCCTTCAATCAATGCTTCCCATGAAGGCATTGTGATACTGCTGTCTACTTTATGTTTCTTAGGCCCGTTTTTCAGATGTTGTGCTTATGCCGTGTCGAATATAAATCAACTTCTTATTTTCCTATTCAACACGGCAAAAGCACCAAGTCTGAAACCAATTTGGCTCGGCAGTTGGTTTCGGCTCGGCAGAAAACTTTAGCTCGACAGGGCCTGCCGTGGTTATCCATTTAGTATAGCAGTAGCACGGTGCGGTTTTAAACGTTGTGCTACATTGTACTGCCGAGCCGAATATAATTTCAATATGAAGTTGGCCCTGAACATCGTTCAGAATTAGGAATGCACATTCTCAACGTGTGTGCAAGTAATTAGAAATACATGTAATCAACAAACTAACGCATCAACAAATATGGCGATCTTACGACAATTGGTATGAGCAAAACGGGGATTTATAAGCGATTTGGACACACCGTCTCCTGTTATTAAAGACATCTGTTCTTAACCACTACGGCATGGACTGATGGAAAGTCCCCTACTGATGGAAAGTCCCCTTGCCAGTATTCTTTGATTCAAAGGCTGCTCATATGTCAACTTGCAAAAAGAGCCGTTTGTGAATTTTGATGTCTTCAGCAACCATTGCAATGCACCTTAATATGTAACATGAGTGGCGTTGGGGATGGGTGGTGGAGTTGGAGTGCGACAGAGAAATCTACATTTGAGTATCAAGTGTCGCCAAAATTTGAAGAAAAAAAAAGTCCAATAGTATGTGACAAGAAAAAGTAAAAATCACTTCACAGTGTTTATCCAGTCTGTATGTTAACTGCCATTAGTGGATAACAAAAATAGAAAACCAATTATTGTCGTAAGAAGGTTCTAGATATGCAATATGAAATAAACAAATTGTATTTAGATGTTTATTACTTCGTACCACTAGAAGTAAGAAAAACAAGAAAATGAATACTCCAGCATGTTATCCTTTTACCTTCCTTAGGGCCAAACCAATATCATCCTCAGAAACCTCAATCATGTCCCCTTCTTGTCATCTTCTTGTCATCAAGTTCCCTCTCTCCCTCCATGTTTGGCCTAAATTTTCCTCGGTTTTCCTCGTAGTGATTCAATTCTCTCTCTCTTTCAATTAGACTGTGTCATCAGGTTTGTCCGATGTGTTGTCGCGCACGGAGGCAGAAAGGCGATCGTGATTACGACGGCGCATACTTTCCACTACTCTCTGGGGTGTACAGCGAACGAACGAGCCTCCCTCAATCTAAGTGCATATTATGTCAGCCGCACTGTATCCTCAGGCCCATCAAGAGTACCCTTGTACCTCAGCCGCTTGACAAAAAAATACTGCATTGTGGAGCGGGGTTTCAAAGGAATTGGCTTTTCGAGAAGAGGAAAAATAGCTTCAAGATCTGCAGTTCTCCGCAATCCTGATCAATTTTAGAAAGACATGAATTTGATACGGAATATTACAGACACTGTCTTGTGTTGGTTATGAAAATGCATTCTTGCCTCATAATGAAGACAAACTTGTGCCCATTAGGCCAAAAAAAAAAATTACATGGTCTCTGGTCAGTGCGCGCGTCGATTTTAATCATGTGCGTCAACCTTTTTTTTTTTCAAATTAACACGGAAGCTACAACAGCGCCCTCTATTGCCGCGCCTCCTCAAATTTTTGTACCAAGGAGCACCAAGGAATGGGGAAATTGCACCAAGGCAAATGATAAAGGGCACCAAGCCAATTTATGGAGGACACCAATGTATAATTAGGACACAAAAAAGCAAAATAGTATCCACCTTGTCTGTACAAAACAAGCTTGAAAGAAAAAAATCGCTTTGCCGCATCAATTCCGGAACTTCGGTCTGACCAGAGGACCGACTATTTGGGGGGGGGGGGGGCCTTATACAGTATGATTACGTGTAAGTTCACATACATGTACATCAGGTACCGGTTTATCTATCAAGAAAGAATTTTGTTTGATGATACAAACTAGGCGATATATAAACGGATGTGGGTTCAACATCATATTGAGGTCATTAAGTCGTTCACAATTCATGGTAACACATACTTACTAGTTCACTTTTAAACTTCCCAAGAAAGGGTTGTGTTGTCCACTATACATTGTATTCCAGCAGACTTAAATACTTAACAATGATTGGTCAATCCATGACAAAAACAATGAGATGTCATCCATAAACATGCATCAGTGAAGATGGTCATTACGGTTCAGTTTATCAAACGTACATCATACTTCATGCTCAACAGTCAACACTTTCCCTCAGCTCCCAATTTCATTGCATAACAAACCACTCTACATTTCAAAACCAATTTGAAAGCGGAAACCTCACATCATTAACAAGCCCAATGATTCATCATGACAAGCACAGAGTGGAGCTCAAGAATGCACATCACATCAAAGATGTCACTTCATTTGCAGCCTTTCTTCAAACCCACAGGTAAATCATGGTCTTGTTATTTGACAGTTACGTTAAAGGTTCATCCTCCAAAAACATGGATGCATTGTCTACTAAAACATAATATTTTGTTCAATCTCTCCCTCTCTCTCATTTAACATGGGGATAAACTGCTAACGCAAAAACTAAAGCCTTCCACAACAGACATCGTAAGATATGTTGATCCGAACTCTGTTCAAATAGATTCAATTATTAACACAACATATAAAAACACGGGTACACATTAACATGGTATCAGAATAACAAACAAACAGACTTCAGACATCTCAGGGAAGGACCAACCAACAAAAAAGACAGAAGATTGACAGAGAGACTCACCAGAATATCAAATAGGCATCGTCTCCCTGGGCCTGAGTCCCGGCACAGATAATGGAGTCATTACAGCTGACGTCAAAACTGGTGAACATGTTGCCTTGGATACCTGTGACGGGGGCGGGGTGAGGGGCAAAAAGGGGGCGGGCAGGGGACAGAAAGGGAAAGGAGAGAGGGATAAAGAAACACACCCATTTTATTGAGGGATTTTCTTTGCAATTGACCCTTACTTGCCAATCCACAGGTTGGCAACCTCTGGAAGATCAAAGTTGCAAAATATATAGAATATAGTTTTAATGTTTCCACAAAAATCACAACCAATTTCTCTCACTGTTCAAATTTAAAAAACTTTCACTATTCAAATTTCTTTTTAGATCAATCTAACATTTCTAAAGATTCTGTTTCAGTCATTATGTTTTCGTTACTGTTTAAACTCTAAAGTGATTTTGTCACGCCTATTCTTTTAATTGGTCAGTTTTAATTGGACCATTAAACATCCATGTGGTAATGTACATGTAGCTAAACCATCTTTAAATATATTTTTTAATTGTTCACAAATGAACATGTAAAATGTTCTTACATGTATATGAATAAATAAACTAAATTAAATAAAATAAATGTCCGCTATTAAATAACTGTTACGGAACTAAGCAAACCCTCACGTCATGTCAACTTGTGTAAGCGCAAATTGACATGCTGTCTGTGGCTGATTACACAGTGCTGAAAATAACAAATTTCTTTTCTTTTTTTTCCCTTTCAACCCCTGTAACATGAGATACAAATTCAATCACTTGGGGACTAAGATTGAAAGCTCATTTGTCTACAGGAAGCAATCAGGCATAAAACGACCTACAGACGGGGTGAACGACTTGCCAGTAACTGGCAAAAAAGAAAGATGTTCCATGACAAGATATTTTTATATAGTAGTGCAGAAAAAAAATTCGCTTGGATTGATAGCAACTGAATGACACAAAGGAAAGAAAATAAGTGCGGAATTGAAATGCTCAGCAGTGGTGATACATTGTATGTAAAGAGAAAACTTTTACAAACATGGCATCTTGTTTTTATTTGGTTTTTTTTACCAAGACTTTTTTGTTTTTCGTATCTTGAGAATATATACATATAGTTTCTTAATTAGGATGTTGTCACACATGTGACAATCAAGACAGTTACATGTACATGTAACCGGTTCATTCAGAATGCGTTGTACATGTACTTCAGCAGTGGTGACAAAATATTAAAAGAAATCTTTGCAAAAACATGTTTTTGTTTTCTGTTTTGTTTTGTTTAGCATTTTTTTTTAACAGTGCTGCTTTCTTGTTTTCAAATCTTGAGAAATATTGAAACAAAAAAGTCCCCTGGTTTCTGAATTTGTGTGCTGTCACCACGTCCATGCCCGATCCATCTTTGGGCAACGGAGGTGTTAAGATCAATCATGGCGTGTCTTTGATTCATCAGTTTAATCTTCAGTGCCGAATCGCGGTCACGACACCGATAAAGGACTCCACACTGAGGGATCACTTGCAACTTCCAAAAAACATGCCCAGAAGAAACCATTGCTAGTCATTTGAGAGAAACTAATTATTGCAGGATTTTTTTTTTTCATTACGTGTGTGCAGTAAAACACCTTTTTAAAATGTTTTTTTTTTACATGCACTCAACTGGCCGTGAATTCAGTGTCCAATTGAATAAAGTATCCCATGTTGGAATGTGAATACCATTTTCTACACCTTGGGCAGCATACATTAATTGGGTTATCAACAAAACTGTAATAAAAGTAAATACATGTACATGTGACATGTGATATACAAAAAGTACATGTACATCCACAGATTAGTAACTGTTTTCTTTAAAAAGTCAATTAATGACTTAAACAGTTAATTTTTCTTATATTCAAGCATTATATTTTGTGTGATGAACACGCTCCTTGAATTGGTAATTCTGCTTAAGATATCTGCCGAGTTACATGTAACACCTTGGCTTATGGATCATTATGATTTGACGTCAGTCATATTTGAAATAGATACTGTTATCTGATAGGACTATGGCTATTCAGCATAGCACATCAATGGCAAAACACCAAAGCCACAGCCAACAATGCCTGATTCAGACGTGGGTGTTTGATGTGGAAGAGAACGGAAATGGTCTTGAGCCATCAAGAAGAGGGGAAAAAAATGATTTCAGCCGCTAAATGCCAGGGGACCAATCAATGTCACAGAGAAATGGCGTCGCAGACAGGAAATGCAGACACCCCCAGGGAAGAATCTTGTGCATGTATATATGTGGACAATTTGCTGTCTGGAGCACGAATCACGAAGCCAGGCATGGATCGAGACTAGAGTCGGCTGTTGAACTCTGAACCTTGAACTCCCAATAAATCCGAATGGGAAGTTCTGTACATGATGTTGAACTCTGAACCTTGAACTCCCAATAAATCCGAATGGGAAGTTCGGTACATCATGCATTTTGAATACAGAGGTACCGGTAGAATGGAAAAGAATTTACATTGACTTTGATGTCAAAGGCTAGACTCTGTCTCAGTTATTTTTTGTTCCATCTACTCAGTGAGTTAAGTTTGAGAGAGAGAATATTTGCTCACAAACAAGGAATTCTGTTTGGTAGTTATGCCGTTTCATGGAATTGCTTGCAAATTTGCTGTCAATTTGTTGTCAATTTGTTGTACGCAATACATAACCCAGTGTAGCAAGATTTCAGATGTTACGCTACCCCTAAACTCCCCTTGCCCAATGCTTCCCTTGTTTTCACAGTGAATCTGCTCCTAGTTTTTATCTTTGATCGTGAGCATACATTTAAAAAAAAATATTCTCCACTGAATCATATGATAGAAATTAAACTGTTCCTGTCTCATCTTGAATCACCAATGTTTACGTTTTCCGCTCGTCGCCCCCTCACTGCTACATCATCATCACCCCTCCCTCCCCCGCATCAGAACTGTGACTAAAAGTGACGGAACGGGGCAAAAGTTGTTTTAGCTGCGACCCGATCAATGACATCACGCCGTGTCCGAAGAACAGTCAGCCAGTTCCAAAAAGACAAGAAAGTAGTAAAAGATGAAATAAGCAAGAACAGACTTTGGTCAGCCTTGAGGACATGTCATTGCTTCGGGAGATTTTTCTCGCACCAAAAATCGATCGGGGAACAGCTCACGTGGAAAGACTCCAGCTAGGCAGTTTTTTTTTTCCTTGCTTTATGTTGTGTGACGCTGCTCAGTAATGTAATTTACGATTGCCGGGTGATGGTTGGCGACAACATTTCCCACTTCTCTCTTGCCGCGACGACAGCGGGGCATCGCATTTGAACGCAATTCCCGGATCTGACGCAGCCCGACGGTGAGATGAGTCGTAGCAAATTTCACCGTTGATACTTGTACGCCGCTGTACTTAATGAATAATGACAAATGCAATCCAAAGCTTTTCAGACGACAAACAAACTGCCCCGCTGATGTATCGCCAATTTTTTTCTTCTTTGGATCAAATATTTACAGAGATATCATCAGCCACTGTAAAATGATGATGAATGAGGAAAGTATAGGAAGTCTGCAATTTTTACAGCTCTTTATATTTACCTCTGTAATTGAGCTGTCGCCAGCGTAATTTGTCAACAGTTTCTGTTCATTTCTAGTCATTCATACACCTCTGACTGTATTCATTTGTATTTGACTGTATTTACTTGGATGCTTTTGGTATTTTCAAATCTTAAGAGTGATTATTTTTCTTCTCTGACTGTAAAACACCTCTACGAAAACTGCTTATTTACAGGAATTTTATCATTTTAGCAGGTTAGTCTTCAACTTGGTTTTTCCTTGACGTCCTAATATATCCAGTTTCTCATGACATAATTACATGTACCTACCTGTGTACACCTGTGATGCCCTCGTTCTTTTTGTCCGCATATCCCAGCACCTGTAGATAATCAATCAAAATGGACGTTATTCAAATGCGATTTTTATCCATCTCATCTATCAAACATGAGCTTGGGAATACAACAACAATTCAGTAAAGTTCTACAGTTGTTTAGTTAATAGAGTTGTATACTCCGCGGGGAGCTAAGATGAATGTTTTCAGAGGCTCGGTGAGCAGGGGTAATAGTAATGATGTACCATGCCATGACCACCTATTCGGTGGAAATTTGCTTTTTAATACAAATTCATATTACTGTTATTAGGCAAAAAAAAAAATAAGTCGGTCTCTGGTCAGCGCGCACGTCGATCTTTTTTTTCCCAAAATGTTCCGCGGTAGCTCCAACAGCGCCCTCTATTTCCGCACCTCCTCAAGTTTTTTTACCAAAGAGCACCAAGGAATGGGAAATTGCACCAAGGCAAATGATCGAGAGCACCAAGGCAAATTATGGAGGACACCAATGTACATGAGGACACCAAAAAAAGCAAAATAGTACCCCACCTTGTCTGTACAATCCAAGCTTGAAGGAAAAAAGAAAAAAAAAAAAAAAAAAAGCCGCGTCCCCGCGTCAATTCCGGAACTTTGGTCTGACCAGAGACCAAATATTTTTTTTTTTTGGCCTTAGTTGTAATTTTTTTTTGAAAACAAACAGATGTAAGGACCACAGCATTTTCGTACAATGTATCCTAAATTTTGAAGACAAAATGCAAATTCTTGCGAAATGTCAGAACAAATATATCCGGACAGGGTCTTGTACAGCAGCTAATGTTCCATGACAGCCAGAGACGAAATACCCGCATACGCATTACCACATTTGCTGTTCAGCCGTGCATATTCCTTTCAATGCCTCGGGCTTGAATCATTAACCAACTTGCATAATTCATGAGTAGTTACAGATTTCTAGTGGCAAGGACTATGGGCTCTGTGCACAAGTACTCCTTCAAACGGCCAGAAAAGGAGAGTTGGGGGTGATCTAGACTGGTTCCCGGTCCATCCACTGCGTATTTCGAATGATCCAAAGTTATTGGTGGCGGGGATTAATCTGGGAGACCTTCGCAAGTTATATTGGCGCCAACGACGCATGATGCTCACGTGAAGACGCTGTGGCTAATAGCTTTTGGCACATTCAGGAAGTCGTGCATACATGTACTTTGCGCACGAACCAGTACAGTAAAAGTATGCACACTATGTGTGTCCTATCTACATGTACAGTGCTCTCAATAGTGATAAAAACGCGCCCTCTTTTGTTGGCGCCCAGAGCCCATACAGCCGATATGATTATACTAAAAACAAAATCAAAGATTGAACCTTCATTAGCATTAAAAACCAAACAAACAACGCCCCCCCCCCCAAAAAAAGGCAAACAAAACAAAGTAAAACCAAAAAATAGGGGGAGTGTGTGGCCTAGTGGTTAGGGTTCGTGACTCATGATCAGAGGGTCCGGGGTTCAAATCCAGCCGCTGGTCATATATTGTGTCCTTGGGCAAGGCACTTCACTCCCACTTGCCCCTCTCCGCCCAGGAGTATAAATGGGTACTGGCATTAGCTGGGGAGTAACCTGCGATGGACTAGCATCCCATCCAGGGGGAGTAGAAATATTCTCAGTCGTTTCATGCTACTAAAACCGGAGATAAACACCGGCCTGACGAGCCACATTGGCTCGGGACAGACTTTACTTTTTACTTACTTCACGTACCGATGCAACAGTACCAATATCTGAGAATTTTGTACTGTACGTTGAGATTATTCATAGAATAATGTTCAAAGAAAGAATTCAAAGTGAAGACCAAGTCTAGAGCCGCACAGTTTTATACACTCAGTAGGCTTTAAGGCACGTACACACGTACATCATGACTTATTGAGACAATAAAACTACAATTTGAAATTGCCATTAAGAAATTTTGATGTAAGCATGCGTCGAGATAATCATCTGGAGAGACCGGCAGGCACGCTCCAATATAAAATGGACCTATTTCTAGTCACTAATAGGGCCTAACACATTATTAGATCAACTCGGGGTTTAAACAAGAATGTACCAGGGACCAATTTTACGAGGCTTCATACTCAGCAAGAATGCAAATTTGTGACATCACAACGAGAATTTTGTGCTTCAAAGTAGCATAAGTTAAACAAATTTCAACTCTGGCGAATTAATTTGGTGTATTCTTTTAATTTTCATCACTTTCTAGTTTTTATTTATGTTAAACTTATTTTTATCGTTCAATGTATTTTTTTTTTATGTGTGTTCTTACAGCAAACAGGTAAATTTCCAATTTTATTTTTGAAAATGGATAAAAAAATAAAGAATAAAGATTCATAAGCATGAAAATTTCCATTTTTGGTATTGCTATATTTTTTTAGATACGCTCACTGCTCATAATCTCCATAAAGTGAATTAAAAATTGTGTGAAATTGGCCTTTTATGCAACAGAAAACTACACTGCTTTATCTAGCACAACAATATTTAAACCCACATCCCCAAAAATTTACTTTCTTGGGGGAACGGGGGGAGGGGGGGGGGGAGATACATGCCAGTGTCTTCTGCACAAATGCATACATACATGTACATGTACATGTACATGTACATGTACATGTACATGTACATGTACCTATGCATGACATAAAAGCCAACAAGGTGAAGATTCAGTATGGTCCTTCAAGACTCCATTTAACATGCAAAACAAGTTTTGCTTTAACACTTTTCGCGGTTGCACATTCCTTGGCCCTTGGAGTTCTTACACCTACACAGCCATTTCAATGTGTCAAAAACCTGTCATTCTCACGTGCAAGGTAAGTAAGAAATTAAGATTCTCAGTCAGAACCTGTGATCCCAGCTGGGAGGAGGGGGTTGTTGGAAGCCCCAGGGCCTTTTTCTCACCAAGAATTTTTTGTTTAACACCTAAGGAAAAAGAGTCACAAGGTTACGCCATGTGTCGTCCTCAGAGTCTCCCCGAAATTTATCTTCTCACCAGTCAAGGTTGTCTGTAGGCTTGAAGTCAAAATAGTCTCAGATTTTTTTTAAAAAGAAATTAAGTAATAAGGCCTTACACCTTTAGTATAACATTTTGTGAAACAACCCTGGAGAAGGATGTTTCTCAAATGTCGGCTATGGTTTCAGGTGTGAACTTTCAACGGCAGGATTTTTTTTCAGTAGTCCCCAGATTTGGAGATTTGCCTCGTAAATTAGGTCCAGTTTTTGTTAAATTAAAAAATATGAATTCCATTCATGTGAGGACACAGTTTGGAGGCAGTTGACTTGTTCAATTATTAAAGGCTTCAAAACAGCTGTCACACTGGAGACAAACCCAACCTACAGATGAAAACGAGGTTTGAAAAATGACAAATGTCTTTCCTTCAGTGATTGGCAAGTGCCGAGAGACAAAACAAAGTCCCGAAGTGATGCTGACGATGCAAGAACTTCCTTCACTGAAATTGTGAATTACGACACGAAAGTAAAGTGGTTTGGGGAAATAAAAAGCCAAATTCAAGGATGGGAATCGACGTTATCTGTTTTAGTCAGCAGCCGAAGGCCGTCACTTGGCGTCTTAGCTTTTCAGCATCACTTCAGGTGAAGCCTTGAATGACCTCAATGCACTGAGGCGTGGCAAACATTACGCGTAATCGTAAAACAAGGATTGTATTATTCAGAAGAATGTGTACATATGTATCTTGAATAAGTGATAAAAAAACCTGACAACTTGAAAATGATAACATCTTTTTCTTTGACTGTACAGATAAAATGTATGACAGACTTTACACAAAATGAAAGATATTGCGAGTTCACTCAATTTAAGATACATTTTTTCTGGATCAAGAAATGACGTCTACGTCTGTTCGAAACTGTTCTGTTCTATTTATGGGAGGGGCTTAGCAAGGATTAAGGGCGGGGATAAGGGATAAGGTTTGCATATGTTGGGCTTAATTCCTAGCTTGATCTATGTAATCTCCTTATCAATCCAGATCGACATACCTGACTGTTCCGTCTTTGGACGATGTGAAGAGATGATAAGGGTTACGATTGCCAAACCGTGCACCGGAGAGCATATCGCTGTGACCTGAAAAGATGCAAAGGTGACATCAATAGTTACGAAAAACTGCATCTGGGCAACATTATACCACAAACCTCAGCAGGTGCACACCCAATAAACTGATTCATAATTAAGTCACGCTCCTCTATTTTTAACTGAGGAAAAGAAAAATGGTAAAAAAATTAATCATGATATTTTGGTAAACTGTAATTTTGTGAACACACTAGGTAAACAATATTTTAAAAAAAAACGGATTTGAAATGACGGTGATTACATCAATTATGTTATGCAAGGCAAGCGCTGACCGGCATGATTGGAGCACCAGCAGGTGTTTCTGCAGAACCCTTGCACTATTATGGCTAATGAGTTCCTACATTGTACGGTACTCGCCAATAAGTCCCCCCCCCCCCCCCCCCATTGCTTGAATGTAATGATGTACATGTTTGTGTACATGTACATGAACCCAAGATCAATACACATGTAACTCTGTCACATTACCGAGGTACAAAAATCAATCTTTACTATTGAGCGCCTGGCACATTACTCTTTTGTATTTTCCTGCAGAAATGTTAAAGTGGCAACCGCAGAATGCCTGATTTTGAAAATGGTTCCATCTTATGCAGCCACATGCACTCAATTTAGGTCTAATTTCTGAATTAAACAAAACTTTTAAAGACATGAATAAAACAGTCAGAAACATTTTATATATTTATTTCTGATAAAAAGACCACACATTTTTGCATAAGACAAAAGTAAGAGAACATAATCTGTGCAGGTCTGCCTCCTCTAAATTGCATTTAATTGGAAACTCTTATCAACTTTAGTTCAATTTTTGAAGGGCATTTATTCCACAAATTTATAACGCCCAAGTCTACGCTATCTCAAGAACTTAAGGGAACTGTTGCTGTAATGCACTCAGCCTTGCAATTCGGGGACACACCTTTCAAAGGACAGACTTGTAAGTATCATCGTATCTCGTAAATTTAAATTTGTGCGCTGTATTGGCCGTCACGAACCTCACAAACAAAGAAACTTCAAGACAGACTGAAATGGCCTCAGCATAAAATAAAAAAATGTCCTAATTCTGGCAATTCCGCACGTCTCCACTGTGTCGCAAATGAAGCGAGACCTTCCACTTCGCTTCTTCCCTTGCACCAGTCGGAACTGCAAAGAACGTGCTTGCGGCTGGACGGCAAATTACAAACCATCCAAAACGTCAAATCAAGCAAGGCGCAAAAGCAGTAAGAGGAAACCGTGGACAATTGCTCGGGCTGGCTGAACATCATTCGTAGACGGTACGCTGCTTCCGTCAAAGATGGGTATCAGATGGTTCGGCTTCATGTAATGTAATGATATGAATTCCACGCAGATGCTTTCGCATGGCTTGAGACCCGTGGGACTTAAATTCCTCGTACAATTTACACATGTATTAATGCCCCGTATCTCTTTCCCCTTTGTTGGCTGTCAAATATCACGCATCAATGACCGCAAAGCATTTACGACGTGGGGTCTTAGCAAATATCCTTGTAATCAAACCCGCCAGGCATTGTCACGACCGTGGGCGTGATGTCGCTAGACTCTATTTCTCCAAGGGGGAGGGATTTTTGTTTGGCGAAGGCTGGCCAGAGCAGCATTTCTTCATAATTTGCGGAATGCAATTGTTCCCTGACACTAATACCCTTTATTTCCCAATGAATAAAGATTCCAAGCGAGACGGAAATTGCGATAAGAGCAACGGTGTGACCAGGCTGTTAATATGTCAAACGCTGCGGGAACGATTCTTTAAAAAGCCGCAGGGCTGCCACGGATAAAAGAACTACCGGCATAACTGCCTCTATTCCAACATCGGCTCGGAGAAAACTCAGGAAGGAAGCTCGGAGATGAAATAAAGGACTTGTGTTTCTAAGGCTTCCCCAGAGCTAGGAAGTAACCAAAATAGCTTGAAATGTCAAGCAGGTTTGTCGACCACTCGCCAACCATCGTGGCTGGGCTCTCAGGGATGCTAAAAATAAAAACTCAATTATAGCATGCATTAAAAAGCTGCATGTTCTTAAGAATAATCTGGTATAATCGTACTAGTTTCTTCAATGTTGCTTATAAATCGCCTCATTTAAAACAAGCCGGGAGCCATAGACACAGAATTTGAATGAATTTGGGTAATTATGAATCGCAAGTACATGTTCACATGGACTGTTGAGCGGAGGGAGATGGACTTAAAATTCTATCAATAAACATGTGAAGTTTCTTACCTTGGAATGTACCAATCGGTGAAAGAGTGCCCTTAGAGTAAACGTGGACGGCGCTGTCTGAACACACCGCGGCCACCAGGGGATCGCCGCGACATAGCGAACTATTCATAGGGGGAAAGAAAGGAGAGAAAAACAGTGTGTGGTGATACATATAAATTTGGGTAATTATGAATCGCAAGTACACGTTCACATCAAATCTATGGTATCTCCGTAATGACGGCAATTACCAATTATGAAATTTATACTTTTTACATACATAGTAGATTAGGTGTCAGCAGTATTCATTTAGTGATACATGATGTACGCATGTACTGTCTGTACATAAATCTGTGATACATGTACGGTACATTGTAGTTTTGTACACGTATATTACATATTTTAAATTACAAATGTAACAAAATGGTCAAGAGTCAGTGGACAAGCAACCAACTACACAGTAAGGTACAGTGTACATGTCCGTCAAATGAAACTTAGTGGAAAACCTAAAGAGTGGAATAAATTTCTCAGAAAACAAAACAGTGAATATTATTTAAAATGCATTATATGCATTAAAGTTTTCTGTTGTTTTTATGAGTAATATTGTTGCAAATGTACAGTGTATTGTTCATGTGTCATAAACATGTATGCAAGTACACAACTACATGTACCTGTATATATGTGCCTGTATTGCACAGGTGAAGGTTAACTCCAAATTATTCAAAAACTTTTCAAAAATCCAGTTTCTAATATGCTTGCTTTGATATGTAGACTAAAGACTGTATACATGTATGACCCTATTGCTTACAATTTTGAAGAATTGCCAAGAATGTTACAATTGTTTACTGCACAATATTTAATTTTGTTTAAGGCAGGAGAACCGAATGCTCCATACAAGGCATCTACATTTGCCTGTACACTGTAGAATGTTAATGGTATACATGTACATGTATACCTGATCTATCCTTAGGTCCGCACAGGCAAAATGAACAGTGAATCTGAATACGTTTTAATTTCCTGTTGCACCCAAGGATCCACTCCAAAGGAACTGCCAATTACAGAATTGGTCGGATAATCAACAGTCATCAATATACTGCCATGACGCCAAGTGGAAAGTAAATTTGTCGAGAGCAGCTTGGCCAGCGCCAACAGTTAATGAGAAGGATAGTACGAGAGAGGCAGTTGCATGGCAAGATACACCAGTGTTTCCATGCCGACCGTCAGGCATATTTTTTTTGGCTGAAGGTCTTTTCCCCCGAGAACAATTTAGTGTATGATTAGATACATTTACCCATACCGTGTATTTCTGCGCGCATCACTTTCATGTGCACCAAGTTACAATTAATAATAACATTGACTTCATTGTATAATGGACAATTTTGGGTGTTTTTTTCCCCAAAAAGGGGCCTCATTCCTTCACATTACAGTTCTTGTGCCTCCCCAAAACAGAATGCTGGAGTTTCCAACCCCACTATGAAAAAAATTGTAGCTACTCCTATGTTTGTTATTTTTACGAAGACAATTTTACTTCTGGCATTTGGAAAAGGGTAAAATATTCTGAAATTAATGACTGAAGCTATAAAATAACTAAAGATTGTTGCATTACGGTTTCTTGTCGTCAGAACTCGCCAAATCACAAAATGCTGTTTCGCAGAATTCATTGTGATGCTCATTTTCCCCCTAAATTTGATACATTTGTTTATTGACAAAACGAGCTCAGACAGGCAAAACACAGACAAGAATAGGTACCGGTAGGCCTATATGTACATGTAGGCAACATGACATTTTTGGCTCTGCAAATCTGTTTACTTTGCAGAAAGGGAAATGTACCCCGAGCAAAAATCAAAAGTACGGTCAACATCCATCATCACAGAACACAAAAAATATCCCATAATCCTTCAATTACTGGCCGAAAAAAAATTAAAAAGTCTTATCCGAGATCTTTCACTATTTCTCTATCTCTCTCAGTGACGGAGGACATTTCCAGGAGGAGGGGAGAAAGTGAAGAGGGTCACATATTAGAAGGGGTCGGTCAGCCAAGACGGAACCAAACCACGTCAATCCTACTCAGCCTCCGAGGAGAACAGCAAAAAATTCTGTAATACGAGCATGGGTGATGAGAGATCGATGGTAGATAAGACCGACTGTGCCCTAAATCCTGCCTGCCTGACACGCGCAACACGGAGCAGCCTTAATCTGCAATCTAGAACGTATTGATCGGACGACGTGTGTGATGCAAAGAGTGACTCATGGTTAGTGTGGAAATCGCAACGCTCAGTGAATGTGCTGGTGACACTTTTGATGCAGACAAAGTCGATGAAATGTTTTAACGATCAATACCAAAGCCTTTAAAATGAGTCAATTTTTTATTCACATGCGTGTGAAGTTTACATACTTTGTGTTTATAAACAGTAATGTTGTACAGAAAGTATTCTGTGCACGTACATGTAGTTAAAAACAAATACTTAAGTTTAAGTGCACCCTAAATCTGGTCTTATTGAGCCTGATTGCAGTAAACGGAGAATGCTCGTAAGTGAAACTGACAGAGCACTTTCGCAAATTAGTGATTTCCATTTGAACATCTATCTGTATTCCGCTCTCAAATCATTGCCAAAGTAGCTCTGGGGCACCAAGGTTACTCAGGGAGAGCTATTTTCTCTCGCGCACCATTCTATTTTTAAAATTCCCAGCCTACAGACTACAGAGAGGCCTAAAATACTTTGCATTGCTTTGGGAATACTGCCTGAAACTGGACAACGCGTTTCGGAAAATGCTTCTACATGTAGGCTGTCCATTTTTCCGTCTTTGGTTTTTTTTTGGGGGGGGGGGATCTTTGGAAGCAAAAGAAGAGACAGTTCCTATTTTTTAGAGGCATTTATTGCATGCTCCTCCAGGGATACTGGGACATTTGAAGGTTTTTCTGCAATCTGCAGCACTTAAGAGAGATGGGGAATTGAAGATTTAACACACTCCGAAAATGGACTTGGTGTAATGTCTTGAAGACATCACATTTCATTACGTGCACTTTCAAGACAAGCAAACAGTGTTTCTTCGTTTTTGAAGACCACACTGAAATTTCTTCACATCCTCTTGAAATTTATCTCCACTAATAATTATCCCTCTCTCTCCTTTCCCCCCAAAAATTTAAAATCAAACAGATCTTGACGCCCAAGATTATCATAAGCACCTGCATCTGAACCTGTATGCACTTTCCAGTTGATGTCAAAACTGGTTGAATTTGGCTGTTTGATGAAAATAGCCAACAGTGTACATGGTGTAAGGGCAAGCGCAATTATCTATAAGGCTTGAAAGTATAAATTGATTTGTACAGCCACTTTGCTCACACTGCATGGGCGCGTACTGCCTCCAGTAAAATGTCACGTAGGCAGGACGCTAAATTGCATCCCCTAGGCATTATTTGGTGATTCCTTCCTTTCCGAAAACGGTCCGATTTCATGGCCTTTTCCTGCAGAAATTGTCTCTTTTGCAATCAATCATCGTGTTTCGGGGGCCGAATAGAATAAATTCAGCCTTGGCAACCAGGCTTGTTATTAGAGAGACTACTGGGCCAAATTTCACGGGAGCTGCTAAACAGAAAATATCGCTTAGCTGTCTTACTTGCTAAGGGAAAAACAGCCGGGGACCAATCACAAGAAATATCACAATGCATGGCATTTTGGCTGGTGACCAGTTTTTGTTAAGCGAATATTTTTTATTGCTTAGCAGATCAAAGAAACCCATTCCATGGCGTTGCTTAAAAGTTAGCAGACAAGTTGTGCTACTTATAGCAGAAATGCAAGATCATTTGCAGCTATCAAAACAAATAAAAGACGTAATTATAGTTAAAAAGCTTACTTGATTTAAAGACAGTAATGACACTAAACTACCTGTGAAATTATTCCTTCTGGCATGCTGTCATTTTGAAGAAAACAATAAAAGAAGGCCATTTCCAAAGATGCGTCAAGTGACGCATTTTTTTAAATTTCCGTTAGTTCCGGTTGTTGGTTTGCAAATCCGTGAATGGGTGTGCGCAAGCGTTGACATGACGCACACGCGTGCGCGATTACTATTATTTGTCAGTTCAGTGCGTGACATCACGTAGCTGCAATTGGCTGAATGAGAACGTGTCCCGGATACTGCTTTCGGGCATAATTCAAAACATGACCCCCCAACTTTAGAATTGAAACCAAGATCCTAGAATATTGTTTGTTCTTTAATATACAGCATTCACAGAGCTAAAACAGTGGCATGTGCTAACGGCTGCGCGTGCATAGAGATTTGGATTGTTACGTCACTGATTTTAATTTAAGCAACTTTTTTCCTCTGGGGTTAAGCACGGTTTTGTTGTGCTTACATGTACATGTACACTGCTTATAAATGCTGTCCACGAAATAGACGGAGGCTAAGTAGGAATATCACATGCTTAGCAGAGCCAAGAATTTGGGCCCTGCAGGTTGTTTGCTGGTGGGAGGAAGGGGAATTAAAAATAAATCCCTTCTCTAAGGACTCAGAAAAGAAAATCTGAACCCAAAAGAAAAGGTTCGTAGGACTGGCACAAAACGCCCAGCGGTCATTTAGAGAAGGAGTACATGTACAAATCAATATTACTTGACTTTCACCTTGCAAGGTTTAAGTAATCGATTAAATTGACCTAAATTAGGAATTCACCGAAGTGAAAAAACAGTCAGGTTTTTAAAATTCTTTCAACTTAAACAGATTCCGCAGGACAAAATTTTCCACAACTTTAAAATCATGAGGTGCGGGTCATTAACTTTCAGCCGCGTTTCATTTCTTTGCCAGGGAGAACATTCCGGTTTTCAATAATGTTTTCAAGACCTTTTTGCTTCAGAAATGATCTTCATTTAGGAAATAAAAATCGAAGTAACAGTAAATTCAAATATACAGGTACAATGTACATGTACCTCTGATTTTACAATATCTGACAGACAGTAAGGCCACATGTCTAAATGCAAAGTCCCTGATTACGAACATGTATGTACATTGTACAATGTGGTTGGTTATTAATTTAAAAATAGTATGCACACACACGTCCACGTGAATCTCATCTTTGTAAGACTTCGTTTCAGAACATTTTGCAATTTGTTTGTCGCTTGAATAAGAGTCTGAATTTGTTTTTTCTGGTGTTTTTTTTCATGATTTCTGTACATAGGATTTTTGCGCAGTATCTGGCATGTACATGTATGTCTTTTCTAGGATGTACATGTATGTGAAGATTGATGTATGAAATTTTGGCGCGAAAACGGTTGCAGATTTTCAAAACATTATTGCGTACGTGTACAATGTTGAAGTCCTTGGTCAATTTCAAAATAGTAAGCACGCACCTGGACTCATGAATTTACTTGCTTTCATTGCAAGTTACAAAAGGGATAACTTTTGACGATGTACATGTATCACAATTATCATATCAGGTCTTTTCAACAGACTTGAAATCTCCAAAATAACATCAACATTTTTAAACCTTAATGTGTATGACATAAAAAGTTTAAGTCTTGTCAAAAAATTAGTTACCAAACCCGTTTGTTTTGACTTGAGATCAAACCTGAACTCCAAAATTTCTTCAGTTTTTCTAGTACATGTACATGAAGATTTTGGGGAATTTTGCACCATTTCAGAAGGTACATGTACATGTACAACCAAGTTAATATTAAAAATATAAATAAACTGAAACATGTAAGTTGGACTTCCTTACAAAAAATGCCGAGGGAGTTAAGGGTAAAAACTGATTAATAAAATGAAGAGCAATAAATAAGATGAAAATTGAACTTACTGTGATTGGGCATCAATTTCCAAGATGTATGTGTCTTGGTTGTCAGGGCCCACCGTCGTCTGTCCTCCTAGTCTGAGCTTGGTCAGAGACTCAAAGTAGTTGGACGTCGTCATCTTGGCATCGATGTACTGGCTGGCTAACAAGCTTCTACAGCCAGACGTCCGAGTGTGTGCATGCGTATGTTTCTCAGAGAAGCGAGCTTCCTCATCGATGATCAACTACAGAATGAGAGAGTTAGTGGTTAGGATCGGGTTCATTAGAGCCTCGTTGTGTGAGGAGCTGTCTCCCTATTCGTCCCCCCTTTGCTCACTGCCGCCGTCGACAGTGAGCTCATGAAGCATGTATGCGTCACTGTCCTCACAGCTCAGCGGTAATTTCAAGAGGCAGGGCCAGACGGAAAGAACAATTTGTTTGTCAGTTGTCAAAACAGGTTTTCCATAAGTTGTTATTAACTTTACATGTTATTTAACAAAATGTTGTTTTCCTAATGCATATAATATGTCTGTCTGATAAACAATGTGAAATTAACTGAAAGAAAAGGCAAAATCTGATTTTTGTTTTGCCTGCTTGTTACATTTATCCTTGCCATGTTACTTTGAGAGATGTTTTTTATAGGGGCGTAAGTGAGACATTTTATAAGGCAAACTGATGCACTTTTTGTTTTTGTTTTTGTATCATACATGTAATCTGTGAAATGTTGACTTATAGCTACAACTTAACACAGCCTCAAACCTTGCAATGTGAATGACAGGAAATTTCCCACTAGTGAACAATAATCCATAATCATTTTTTTATCACTGAAATTTGAAATAATAAAAAAAAATAATTAAAAAAAATAATACTAACAAATAAATAGTAATAATAACAACAACAAATGACAAAAATCAAAAAATCAAACCAAAAATTTTTTTTTTAAAAATCAAAAAAAAAATCAAAAAAAATAATCAAAATTTTGGTACAAGACCTGCTTCAAGCAAATACTCTTCCATGAAATATGTTGCCTCTTTTCTAAGATTTTCTAGCTTTGCCTTTGAGAAAAAAACATCTGCTAGGTTCCTAACTTAAAGCCAGCCTTCTTCCTATCGTTTGATGACCTTTTTCTGAGAAGACAGATCCGACTTGAGTTGAATTCAATTAGATGTAAATTGTAATTCCCTTGTATGCTAAACGGTTGAAATTGAATCCCTTCCCCACGGCTACAACCCGCCAGCAATTAACGGGAAAGTGCCCGCTATATACATGTAACACATTACCAATTTACTACGTGTGTTATGAGCGCTTGAAATTAGTTTTACTTCGCAGAAACAGTGTTATAAACTCGAAGGAGCAATCAGCATGCACAATGTAAATTGAAATTGATGAATTCACAAATTGAAATTCATAACGTTGCCAATTTCTAATTCTTGTTATGGTTGATGTTTTGGCTAAGTGGATTTACTCGTAATGTTGGACACAAAATCTGCTCGAACAAAATGAACTTTAGCACAATCACTTTTGAGTGTGTCACGTACATGTACAGTGCATCAAATTCCTTCAACCACGATGATTGTGCTCCAAAGTATACAAAATTTGACAAACACATTTATTTTGTTAAGACAAGTGAGGTGAATGATCAGAAATTATCCAACAGTTGTCCGGACCATAACTTCAACCTACAAATTGTAAAATGAATTTAGAGGCCGATGTGAGAATCTTTTGGTCTTTTTGCTGGATCTTCTCTTAAAAGGAAATGAACATATTTGTATTCATTCTACAAGACTGGAGCAATCAGTTCAAGACTTTTTTATATTTTGAAGCAAATGTGATTCCTTTTTCATGAGCAAAGCATTGATTTCATTTCAGTGTTACATGTAGGTTGAGTTCATTTGTACATAAAGTTACAAAATTTAGTGTGTTGTTCAATCTACCATATTGACACACCATGAAAAGGGAGCTCTAGACATCAGAATATCATGTACATGACTCTAAACCACACACCATCTCGAGAAATATGACACAAATACAAAGTTGCAAACAAATCTATGTATTATCTGTGGGAGTAACATACATGAACCAGAAAAACAGAAAAAGATTTGAATAGTTTTGAGAAGAAAAAAAATCCAGGAACCGCGACTAAATTTTTATTCCTTTTACGTTCTCTTCACTGGCCACATAAGATGTCCGTTTCCAAGATGTCATATTAATCAACCGGCAGGGAAGATGAGCAGGCCTCAGGATTAATGTCTAGCTTTCACTCAGTCTCTCTTCATTTTAATCATCAAAAAAATGCGAGGAAAAAAAGAGACAAGTTAGCAGTGATGTGGGCTCAATGCCCAAAAGAAAGTTCCTGTTCCATGTTTTTTTTCTCAAGTTTTTCTTAATCCTAACTCATGTTGGTTTACAATTTCCACTTTCAATTTGAATTGTTCAAAGTTGTTATACATGTAGCTGCCACAGTATTTAAGCCTTTTATACGGACAACAGATGTTGTGCATTCAAACTTAAAAGTCGCTGCACTTCTGTATCTTTAAAGTTGTGTTCTCCGTGCTATTTTTGAGTTTCATCCTGGTAATAGTCTCCTTTTCTAAGGTGTTATATTTCTACCCAAAAGTAATTCACTCTTGAATGCATCGGGCAAAGCGAAGCCTTGTATGAGATAATAATAGTTTACTGCCACAGATTGGCCACTTCAAGTTTGAAAGATTTAAATATACAGCGAAACATACATGTACATTTTTTTTCCTTCAATTATTTGAAAAGAATAGTCAAAATGTAAATGCGTCTTGGAAACTTGCAATAATGAAAACAACTGGAGCGCCAGACGTAAATCCTGGTTTTCAATCATTTGGCCGCCGCCTGACAGGCTCTTCGCCAGCTTCTTAGAAAATTGAAACGCTCTGGCTGCGCTCTGAAAGAACCCTTGAATGAATTTTCCTCAAAATCCCACGTTGCCATCAACACTTGATCATTTTCATCATCTCGGCGCCTGAGGGAAAGACTCGTCTTGCATTCATGATCCATCAATGTTCAGTTTATTAGCCCCCTCGACCACATTGGTCCCTACATCAATTTTCATTTTTCAAACATGTAACATGTCCAGGCATCTACTGACTATTCTTTTCAAATAATTGAAAGGACAAAAAATGTACATGTATGTTTCACTATATATTTAAATCTTTCAAACTTGAATCGACCAATCTGTGGCAGTAAACCATTATTATCTCATACGAGGCTTCACTGTGCCCGATACATCCAATCTTCCAAGAAGCTGGCGAAAAGCCTGTCAGGCGGCGGCCAAATGATTGAAAACCGAGATTTACATCTGGTGCTCCAATTGTTGTCATTATTGCAGAGTTTCCAAGAGAGATTGTGTGGGGAAAAACTGAGGCGAAACTCTTTGACTTGTTACTTGGAAATGAGCCTTTGAATGGTAACGTTCCAGACATTTATGCTTGGCGTGGTAACACAGCTTTACCCTAAAAGAATCAACCACTATGGCACATTCCTCTTAAAACTTAAAGGGACATTAAGGCTCAAACATAAATAACAATGGGCTTTACATTTCTTTAGTCCTGCAAGATTTTCCAAACCTCCTCATGGAATTTGAATGATCTAGGTTAAATCAATGGTTTCCAACTACAAAAGAGGGGATTTCTTGTCAAAGGGAAACAAGGAAATTTAAAAGAACACCTCAAAGACTTCATTATCTCTAGGTAGGCAGTGTTTTTACACACTTTGGGACAAGTGGCACCAGAACCAAGTTTTGTTGCAGCTAAACACGAGTGCTAATTTCACAAACAATAGCTCAACTTTATGCACTTACAATTGAGGAACTTTGATTAGCAAATTTTGGCCATCAATTTCAAATCCACAATATGACACATGTGCAGTACAAGAAATGTGAAACAGATTTTCTGCGATGGTTCTTGGGTTTCAAACAGAATTCAGAATTACTGAAATCTGAGTTTCACAATTTGCACCCAGAAATTTAAACATCTGCCAATAACTACAACCTGATCCAAGTGCCAAGCACAAAGAAATTGAGAATAAAACATTACTGCATTATACTTGTTCATGTAAGAAACCTGTTGTTCTGGACGTAGGCACAAGCGCAAATCACCATCAACTCCATTGAAATTGCAAAAGATCTAGATCCAGGCAGAGCTCAGACTAATGGAATTCCATCGAGACTAGGACCCCAGGAATAGAATTGAAATTGAAGTGCGGGGTGCGGGTACATAAAAGGGCTGGCGGGCCGGCGCCCCGGGCCGGTACAGACAGAGGAATAATAACACATCATGGAAGGAGGAAGGGAACCAATGAACGGAAGAAATGCAGGCTCCGGATGAAAATAAACAGGAAAAGCTGCAGGCAAACTGCGGAAGAACGATGTGCTGAATTCTAAACAGACCAGTGTCTGCATTCAATTATTGTGTACACCGTTTTCAAAAGACATACCTCCATGAGCCAAAGCCTGCGTTACAACTTAAAAAATATAATTTTGTAATGAAAACCAGGAAATTATGAACAAAGTTATGGACCTTCTTCAAGAAAGGCAAATATTTCCATCAAAGTAAACAATTTTAAATGCATAAAAGGTCATGATTTACGGAACCACCTTTCGACTTAAACACGGAAGAGTTTATACAAAAGATTAAATGACTAAATAATTAACAAAAAAAATTCAAGATCAGTTTTATTATACAGTAAACTTTCCAACTGTTTTGCTGCACTGGTAAAAAAAAAAATGGAAAGCTCATAGCTGCATTACCATTCACAACAAAAAATGTCCTGAATTTCCTGGGCAATTTTTTTCTAGAAATATGGTATAATTTTAATAATAAAAAAATAACGTCTCAAACTAAGAAAACTGTTTGAACAACAGATTTCATTGTTCTTTCATTGTTTTTGGCACAAAATTTCTTGCACGTGAATTTTCCGATTCAAGGGTTCTGGAAGCAGGCCACCAGGGGTGAACATGGTGAATTTTCTATGCCAATACAAGCTAACTTTAAACAATAATACAATGTACGTGCTCCGAAAGGGGGGGGGGGGCTAACATCAAAGATAGTCGGACACTTTTTGTCTGGGAACCAGACTGGCCTCTGTATACAAAATGTATACGTACATGTATGCCCTGAATCAAGCCGCGTGATGTCATCATGCATAGTAATGAATCTAGCCAGTTTAATACAGCAGAGAGCCCTAGCTTCTCACAATTAGTAGACAATGGATGGAGAAAAAGATGGCGACAAACTTGTCAGAAGGTGCTTGAAATTTTTTTTCCAATTTTTCACTAATTTTCAAGATACCATATATCTATGGACAAGTTTACAATTGTGGTAAGCTTTATTTTATGAATTGCTAAGCTCATAGGAATACAATGATATATATATATATGACAATGTTGAGCGATATGCATTTCGAGAGATATTTGGAATCAAATCAATCAATCATGACTTGTGAATCCTCATGTTATTTTTCGTGAGTGTTACTGTGAGGTACTTACTTATGAAGCATTCTGTGAATTCACATGAGCGTAGAAGCTGGCAGGTTGATTGAATAACATTCGTGTAGTATACAGCATGTTCGCGTTGATACAATGTATGCCTATCTATGGGTATTACAACTTCGTAATACCCAGCATGTAGTTCCAGGGGTAGGGGTAGGCCATGTACTGTAGGCAGGTTCCAAGTGCTTTAACATTTACCTAGACCCGTGAACGTGGCGTTGTATACAATGCCACGCTGTTGTGTATTTTGGAACCTAGCGAAATCGATCCGCCATACATAATTTCATATGGATATTGAGTACTCACCTAGAAATCTAAATTTGCCTTCCCGTGTGTTCAGGATGTGTCATTTCGACGAAATTTGCCATCAATGAAGACCCACACGAACGTGTATAAATTAGATTTTAACCTGACAAGTGACCCTGACAAATGACCCTGGACGAGTACCCAGGGTCATTTGCGTGCAAAATTATCGGAGCCCACCGAGCTACCCGTCTGCTTCATGTGGCGCATATGATAGGCGGCGTCTGATTGGCCAATAACGAGGCCACATGATAAACGCAGCTAATAATTTGGAATCGCACTTACGATCCGGACAAAAGGAATGCCTGGAGCGTCAGTGCGATACCAACTTATTCGCAGCATTTATCAGGTAGTAAATCACATGCATCAGGAGGAGGTTGTAGGACTTCTTCTTCGACGTCGAGATCTTGCCAGATTTTACCTCGAATTTCATTTGAATGCCAGATTTGGCGTAAAAGCAGAGTTCAACATGTTCAAGAAAGCTTGATATGTGAATACTTATCACACGGTAAGGCAACAATGTTCAGTCTTTGTCATGGAAGGACGATTTCGCTTGGTTCGAACATGTACAAGAGCGTGGCTAATTTACAAGCCACGTTCACGGGTCTAATATTTACCATGTCTACAGAGGTAGGCCTAGTCCAGTATTCCAGTAAACTTGGTAAATTGGCCACATTTATGGGGCTAATGTAGCTGGAGTTACCCAGCCCTAAATTTTAGGCAGTGGATATTTTGCCGGAAACGGCAAACCTTTAGTAAACATTAGTTTGCCGGATATGCACTGAACATGCGCAGTTACTGTTTTTATGTACTCTAACATTTTCCGGTGACAAATTTTAGTCTGGCTCCATGCCAATATTATCGTTGTAACCTCGTATTCACAAGATGGGATTCAGACCATTTTATAATTTCGGACTTTATTTCCCTTTAAAAAAAATCCTCCAGAGCCACAAATCTGAAAAAGAAAATGTCATACTTTGCAATAAAATGTTTGAGACATGATAAAATAATAAAAGAAGAATATTCTTATTTATTTGGGGATGGAAAAAAAAACCTTAAAAATGTGGAGGGGATCCGGAATCGAACCCGAGTCATCCCGCTCACTAGTCCGAAAATTTGGGACTCTCAATACTGTGTATGAGAGTCCCAAAACTTAAGGTATTGAAAACATGCAAAACAAGAAAATAGACTGGTACCTAAAACAACCAGTCCAACACAGCTTCAGTACTGAATCAATCAACTATGCCAAAAGAATTGTGTGGCATGAAGCGGGAACTAGTCTCAATTTACTACACATTTCTCTATAGTCAAGCCACCAGACTATTGGCACTGAATGAAGAGGTCAGTCTTTTCAAATAGTTGGACCATGGTAGGACATGTACCAGTCTAGTATTTAGCCCCATTTTGAAATCACTTGACTTCCCTCTCATGTGCAAAATATTGAAGAAATGTCTCCTTTAAAAATTGAATTGAGTCTGCAAACTTGGTTGGTGAAATACCGAGGACATTTTCTTTGCCCCAGTGGAATTTTTGGAGAAATTTGTTGCTAAACTGTGAGTAAATTGGGCCTGATTTAGTTTTGCACGTTTCAGAGCACTCCAGAGCCCTGTCTGCCCGCTCACTAAAGCCTTTGCTTAACCACTACACCAAACGTGCTACACAACTTCTAAGTTCTAGTGGGAATTTAATACATCTTATAATTCAGCCCTATCTTAAAGAGTACAGCGCCCTCTGTTGATATGGATTGCCGCTGGCAAACCTTTAGTAAACGTTAGTTTGCCGTCATTACCTCCGGCAAAATATCCACTAGGCCTATCTAAATTTTATCGCAGTGGCTATTGTTACGGCAGCCGTAACGCATTTCCCATTTTCTATCGTTACGGTAGACTGCAACCTGGCAACTTTTATAAAAAAACATGACAAGAAAATATAAAATTAGAAGGAAAAAAGTGAATTTGAACTTTATGAAATTCGGACTTTATTTCCCTTTTAAAAAAAATCCTCCAAAGCCTCAGGTTAGAAAAGGAAAAAAATTCGAGTGCAAAACTGAGATTCGAACCCGCAACCTCGCGGTGCAAAATCCTACCCTCTATCGGCTGAGCTGGCGCACTGCTCGATAAAACGTGGGGAAACAAATAATCATATACCTGCGTGCGTATCAAAAAAAAATCGTAGAGGGCGCTAAACAACGAGTGCCGTAACGATAGCCACTTCGAAATTTTATCGACATTGGGTTACCCAATGTCAATGATCAAATTTAGGGCTGGGTAACTCCAGCTATGGCTAATGCACACGCACTACGCAGTGTGTCCCGTCGACACGGATCTAGTCTCAAATTTTGTCAAAAAGGTAAAAAAAAAAACACGCCCTCTTTTCTTAGCGCGCCCACTGAGCCCATACATGCGCCGTATTCCAGACGTTCATGACGGTGCTCACTAGTCACTGCTGACTGTAGCCTATAAAATCAAAATACAAGTTTTTCTAAACTCTGACATGCTTGCAACGCATAGGAAATTTCAGTAGCTGTGATAAACCTAAATTCAGACACACATTTCATATACTTACAATCAGTAAACAGCTCCAAACGGGGACGTTAACCCGTACAATTTTTACTTTTCTCGACTTTCGAAACCTCGTGTTGTGCGTACCAAAAATAGATAGCTAGCCAACCATAAAACACATTTTAATGCATTGCCTGCAGTCCAGGAACCAGTTTCCCAGGTTCCAGAAAATGTTATCAATTGAGGGCGCTAACCAGTTTTTGTGGGCATCGAAATCGTTTTTAATATTTTAATATTTTTTCTGCACCCCTGTTCGGGCATGTAGGCAACTCGCCTTATCTTTTACTTTGTTTAGCAAATAAAAAATGGGACAGAAAATGGGTGATATTTGCTGTTTTCATCTAAACGTAGGAATCGGTCAGCAAATAAGCGAAATTCATATTTGTTGAAGGAAAACTTTATTAAACGGCATATGTTAATTGTCACCATCCACAAAAATATATCACTGAATCGTTTTCCCGCAAAACTTTTCTAAAGAACTAAACTTTAGTCCGTCAAGACAGATTTTAAGTCGCAAGACATATCACATTAATCCTAACCCTCAAGGCAAATGGTTCGTTTTTTTATGAAGAAACTTGTTAAATTGAGCATGGTAATTAATTAAACTTAATTAACATACAGTAACTCAAAAAATCTGGAAAAGAGTCCAAGTCGATTTAAATTTTCAGCTAGTAAAAAAAATTGGATCATGCACAGGTGCAGGCGCGGCCTTTACATTTTAATTCCAGAAACTGCCCAGCAGGCAGGCTAGGCAGCTAGCTAGCTGCATGCAGGGCATTTCATTTGTTGTGTGAACCCCCTCAATTAACTATGGGAATTTCCTTTTCCGATCCGATGAAAACAACTTCCTCCTGCATGCAGCGTCCGTGTGGCAAGTAAGTATCTTTGCCATTACTAGCAGCACGTTGTCGTCAAAGTTGGTACCTTGATCCTGTCTAATAACTTATTCTTTAAAATGGGGTTTGTGGTCGCTGCCGAAGTTCGGGGAGTAATAAATAACCGTCCGATATTTTCTACACCGTCCCCCGGCGCGCGTGTAGGGGCTGGGGGTTTGCATAAAAATTTTAAGATACCAACTTTTACGATAATGTGTCGCTACCAGCAGTGCGCGCGCGCTCAAACGGCACGGAAAATCGCTCAAGCGGAGTATCCATTGATGATCTCCATGGAGATCAATGGGAGTATCCCATAGAAACTATGGAATATCCACGGTCAATGCACCGTACCGCGCACGCACTGTCAGCGCCTAGTACATTTCCATTTATGTACTAGTACTAGTATAGTAGTGTACATAAATTATGAGCTTGCGTAATATACTGCATTTCAGTATTACAATTATCTTGGCAGAGTTTTAAAAATACTCCAGTATTTTGTTGTACAAGTACAATTAATCGATCAAGAACGAGTGACAGCTGAGTTAAGGCACGGTTAAGGTGAGGATGTACCTCCATGATGCTTAACATTTGATGCTTTAATTACATGTAATTGTTTGTGAAAGTCGTGTTTTATAGCTTTCACTTCAGTGCAATCATGGAGGAAGGAATAGACGATATGCCGGGCGGGGCTATTTGCCGTGTGTAGTGAGTATCATGGCTTCGCGCCGTGCCGTACCGGACCGTTATGTAACACTAAGAACACTCGTATTGTGCGCAACCTCCCACAAAGGTTAACGCAGGCAAATGTTTTTGTGTTGGAGTGTAGGTAAATGTTGACGAATTAAGAGTTTTGGCAGTTGATGACTAATATTTATAGGCCCCTAATACTAGCCTGCTACTGTGCTAGCTCCATTTGCATTTCTGGCAGTTGACTTCTTTTTTTTCTACATCGAACTTCATATCCCATTCAGCCACAGGTCGGTGTCGGCTCTGCTAATCTAATAAGACTGTGAATTGAGAGTGAATGAAGGATCTTATCTTACTCCTGTTGACTCTTGCTGCCTGTATTGGTAAGTTAAAACTACCAATATAAGCATGATAAGATTTCCATATCTGGACATGGCTTGTCACCCTGCTCACAGTCACAGACCCATTTTATGATGAGGCTGGTCACTTTCTGATGATCACTTCCTGATTGCTGATGTCACTGCAGGGAAAAAAAATAGCGATGGCCAGGATGACCAGGTTTATGGAAATCTTTCCTTTTTTCAAAATAAATTGGCACCATAATGCATACTTTTCCTTTAAAACCTCAAATTTTCAGACAAATATGCAATATAGAGGCCTATGTTATACCCATATTTTCTGGGTCACTGATTTTCCAAACTCTTTTGATGTTGAAACTGATATCTCTGCACTGCTTTGACTCTGAAAAAGTAACATACAGCATAACATGATCCTTTTGAAAAATTATTTTGCATTTTGAAATGCAGAAAGAGCATTAAAGGGAATGTACAACATTGGCTTTTGCTGCAATTTTCAGAAATAAATGGGTTTGGAGGATTAATATGTTATAGCAAATATATTGTTAAACTGACTTGTTTCACGTTTTGGGCTTGTAGATGCTGGAAAAACAAAGAAAAACCAATTTTGTTCTTGTATCGTAGTCTGGTTCCCCGACCCCACTTAAAATGGAACAATTTATAGATTTTGGGGAATTGTACAGTCAGAGTATCAATTTAGCTGGCTTAATTATACCTGTTCATGGGTGTGTAATCAATTGCAAAGAAAATGTGGAATAACTAAATATAAGAAATGTGGAGTAGTTTTTGAAAATAGGCAGTTTTCTCCTACGCTGGTCAGCCGACCAGCGTTGGAAAAATACAACTTTTCTTGAAAATGTCAGCACACCAGGAGCCACAATTTTGAAGGATGCTTTTAGACTGTCATTCCCTAACAATCCAGTAAGGTATTTCGTGATAATTGGATCATTTCGTTTTTTTGATGTTTGCAAAATGTTGTATCTTCCCTTTAAAGAGTCACAATTCCTCTTTTTTTTCCTGCCAATATTGCAGCCCAGATCCAGGGCATACGGTGTTATGCTTGCAACTACACCAACGCTGTTCCTACTTACAACAGCTTCTGCGATGTTAACTTTGATCCGAATGGATGGGGTGCTGCTCAATCTATCGTAGAGTGTGATGGCGTATGCGTTGTGAGTATTTACTTCCAAATCCTTTTAAAAAAAGTGTCTTAAAAATTTATGCCTGCTATGATCTAATATACGCACTACAGTGCGATGTAATTATCACATGAAACCTTCAAGTCTTTCTGCTACGTTCATGTCGGTCTCAATGGCAAAAGTCCATCTTAATAATTGGGCAATCATAGGATGCTATTCAATGAAAAGTAGATTACAACAAAAAAGATAATTTTTGTAAGAAGCATTAAGTGTGTACCTACTTTAAGTTACAATTCTAAGTACTTTTCTTTGAGGTTTCAGTTTGTTAACACTATAAAAAAATATATACACTTTCAGTGCAAGTAATTACATTCACATGGATTGCCATAGTCATTTATAAATGAAAATTTCTAATCTCTTTTTTTTTTTTTTTTTTTTATCTTATTAGAAAGCTAGTGGTGGAGTTGCTGGACTGATTGGAGTGGAACGGAAATGCGACACCTCTAAGGAACCCGAATGTCCCAACGGTTGCGGAAGTGTTGAAGGCACAACCATTGGGGGTTGCCAACACTGCTGCGAAACCGACCTCTGCAACCAAGCATCGTCCGTGACCTTTCACCTCTTGACCTCCGTGGCCATGTTACTTTTTGCCTGGGTCGGCCGTTACATTTAGATGAGGCTGTGTTTTGCGGGATTTTTACTTTTCATCTCATCCTCAAAGGATAAAAAAAAATATATATAGGTGCATAGTTAAAAACAAATGAGTCAATTTCCCTCATGCAATCCTGAATTCATTAAAGTGGAGGGAAAAAACAGATTTTTTTTTGCAGATTTGAGGCGGGGACTCATACCGTTGAGTTAAGAGCGAAATTTGAGGTAAAATGAAAAAAAAAAGCCTTTCGCTGTTGATTTTTGGTGAGTAGAATTATCAAAATGTTTATCCTTGTCCTCTCAACATTGGTCAAATTCCTTTACGTTCTTATGTTTGATTCTGATGGAAACATGACAATTGGGAAAGGAGCTGAAAGGGAACGGGACAGTCCATGTCCAAACTAGGCATTATGTGCCCTTGGCGGGTTACACAAAAAAATCTAGGTTTGCTCTTTGAAACTGCGGGCAGGAAAGAATAAAGGTGATATGTTCACTGATATGTTTGCTTTAAAGTACAGCAGAGGGATTTATATATGCACCAACTCATTTAACACATTGTAAACTTTTGGCTTATGCTAATTTTGTCAGGCGATACACAAGTGTTCATACTTAAAGATGTATGATGTACTAAAAAAAAAAATTTATTAAAAAATATTAACCACTACTTCTAAACTCATTGAAAATACTTAAAAGGTCATGGATTTTTGGTCCCCAACAATGGCGGTGCTATTTTCCATGATTTTGTATTCGTATTTTGATTAATTTAATTAATCAAAATTAATTAATTAAATTATCCTCACCACTGATACAAGTAGTAAGAAAATAATTCATGAGTAGTTTTAACGCCCCAACATTTGTATGTTTTAATAAAAGCCTTCAATTAACATTTTGAGTGTATTTTACCTTGCTTCACATTTGCCTATTTGATATACACATGCTTCTTCGTAGATTAGTTGTGTAAGTTTTGTTGATATAAGCTTAAGGTTTCATCCGTTTTGACTCTATGTATATTGGCAGTTATTGTATTTTTCTTATTGTTGAATTTATACAACAAATGTATTGTGTTGTATCTATGGCACTTTTCTAAATAAATGTTGATTTACTTCTCTGTGCCATGTACATGCACTCTCTTCATTATGTGTGTTTTATACGTGCGCTGTGGTGTCAAGTTCAGAACTACAGTATTACTATAGATATGGTCACTGCACTGTGTTGCCATAGTTACGGATCCAGAAATCAACTGAATCAACTGATGAAAACTAAGAATTATTACTTTTTTGGAGAGACATACTTTCAGGAGGAAAAGTTTTTTATATTTGCTGTTGCCTACCCCCCCCCCCCCCCCCCCCCTTGAAAAAAAAAAAAAAAAAAAAGCCAAACAAACCAACAATGTCGGGAAATTCTGATTGGGATGTTCCAACTCATCTCATGGCGCTATCATCTGAAAAGCCAGGACATCCCCATCTAATATCTCAAGTCATATAAAAGATAGTTTTTAACTTCCGTTATCATCATAAGGTTTTGATTTTCCCGTGCCTTTAAAGTTTAAAGGACATGTAAATACTAAATATCATTTATGCAGGAAATACGGAATAGGGTGCATTGATATTAGTAATAACGAGCCTTTGGGGTGTGGCCGCCGCCGGTACTCTCGCCGCGCCTTGGTAAAGTCCATTATAATAGATTGACCGAAGCCAGTCTATGATGATGACTAATCGTTCTTTGTTAGCTGTGATCCCTGTATCTATGGCTATAGTAACGTCATCATGAATATTCTATCCACTGATTATTACAGCTCTAGACTACCAGCACGTTGGCTGTACCGTCTTTATCCTCTGTCCAGTGACCAGCTCTGTCCACATCATCAGGGCTGCGCCTAGTGTTGACGGCCTTTTACCGGAAGAGGAGGCGGGAAAGGAATGGGGGATGCAGCATGCAAATCCCGATACGAATTTCAAATATGATAATTTCAATTGTCTGGGAGTTATAAGAGATAAACTTTGAGAATTTGAAGAAGTTTTCTTTTGTGACTATAGCACTTTATGAGGAGTTGTTAAGAGAGGAATCTGAGGCGCCAACAGGCGCATTTTTGACGGTCACTGCACTAGTATTTTTAAACTTCAAAACAGAAGAGATTAATTGGCCGTCGCAAATATGCAATACTCAGTAATATGGAGCGGTGGTACCAAAAAAAAGAATTAAAAAAAAAAAAACATTGGGGGGGGGGAGGTGGGGAAAGGATAATTTTCTTTGTGATTTGTGTATTTGGAGCGATTTTTCTGAAGCCCCCCCCCCCCCAAGTTCTTATGCATGCGCGCACACTTTCTGAACAGGGGTGCAGAAAAAATACAAGGGCGATAAAAGTAGTGTGTACGTAGCGCCCTCTTGATCTTGGGTCTAATCGGTGCAACTCGCGGATCCAAGGCAGTGTGAGTGGGAGGGTCCTCGAGCCAGCTGATCGAACGGGCACAAAGCTTTTTAAAGCGCGAGGTTTTTTGTCAACTTTCTACTTTCACTGCAATACTTTCGTCATACAAAGGTTAGTTATGTCAGTGAGAATTAGACTCATCGTACTATGACAGCTTGGAAAACCCAGTTACTCATTTAGTAGCAGTGGAATACCGCTCAGGAGTCCAGTAATGTATCTTGGCCATAGAATCGGGCTAGTACATTCATGGAGGAAGAAAATATTCCATAGCCTTGATTAGGCCGTTTGTTTATGTAACTGATAAAAAATGATTACAACATCAAGAGTATGGCCTTCCTTTTTGATGGTTTGCCAGACCTATGGCCATGGTTGCCAGGTCTATCAACAATAAATTTCCAAATAAATACATGGTATCTGAATCAAGGTGAATGTAATATCAAGCATTATATAATATAGGGATTAATTTGTCTGGACTTGTCCAAAAAGTCAAGCTGCTCAAGGCAGAGGGTTGCTAAAGTAAAATCAAAGGGGGGGGGGGGGGGGGGGGGGGGGGGGGGGGGGGGGGGGGGGGGGGAGGGGGAGAAGGAATCTCTTGAATGACGGCAGATCATGAGAGCTGAAGGTTAGCAAGCCTAAATAAACAAACGAAGCTCCATAAAGATACCATAAAAGGCATAATAATAATTAAAAATGCACCAATCCTAGAAACTAGATCCATGCTCTATAGAAAGATGACACACATTTAGTGTCGGTTCGGTTGAGGTTTGAGCAATTTCCTGAATGTAGCAGCTGAATTTGAAGTACGGATGTTGTAGGGAATATTCAGTTTTAATGTTGCCATACTGCAAATTGAGGCTGTGTCCAAAAAAGATGTCTAGAGCTATATGCTTATGTCAGCTTGTCAACATGGTCCCATGTAGCTGTAACTGCCAAAGAAGGCCTTTTTACACTGGAACCTCTCTAGTTGGCCCTCGACCCAGGTTGAACTCAACCCTGGGTGAATCCAGTGCCGCCCCAAGTCGAGATTCACACTTGTTATATAGAAACCAAGCTTATTTCACTCTGTTACTTTTGTTTTGAACTTGGAGCGAGAGTTTCATCCCGACTTGAAAATCTCAACCTTGTCTTGAGCAGGGTTGAGTACAACCCGTACCCGGGGTGAAATCAGACCCAGGGTTGATGCAGGTATGGCACGGGCTGGAACATTTTTAAGTGTGAAATGCTGCATGTTTTTTTAACCTGTGTCAACCCGTGTGAACCCTAAGATTTTTCTAGTTTGGAAAGGCCTAAAGACCAGACATAAGACTACAGGCCCGACAGTCATCTCCCACTCAAGGCAAAAAACACAAGGTCTCAATAGAGCAGGCAACTACAGTGTGATAATGATAACAAATGATAAGCTAATACCCATAATAATGCTGTTACATAAAATGTTTAATCCCTTAAGTAAACAGACACATTACAAAAGACCTTAGAATACTCGCAGGGTAGCATTCATTCAATATTCATGTACGTCCGCCTGTAGTGTACACAGCTCATATTTGGATCTGTCGTGAGACAGTATGTGAGTATTAAAAAATCTTAAATAATTAAGACTTTGAAATTGGGTCAGCCCAGTAGACTCTATAGAGCAGATGCTGTTTGTCTTAGAATGAGGCAAATCACATTTAAATGACACTGAACGTTGATGTAAGGAATTTTAAACAAATGGATTTTTATTCTTTATTAATTAATAATAAAAAACTGTTGTTGTTTTATCTCTTGTAGATGAAGCTTCTTACAATGTTTATGCTACCGCTTAGTATCTTTGGCCACTCCCTCGTTGAAAGTGAGTCGACTGACAACAAGTTCATCTTTGACACCTTCCAAGATCCCAAACGTGATACCTTTCTCTGGGAAACATTCCCAGATGATTTCCTTTGGGGAGCAGCAACAGCATCGTACCAGATAGAAGGAGCTTGGGATGCTGACGGGAAAGGTCCAAGCATCTGGGATACCTTCAGTCATGAGGGAGGAAGGGTCTACCAGAACCAAACAGGCGATGAAGCTTGTAGCAGCTACAACAAGCTCAAGAGAGACATAGAGATGCTCCAAGAGCTTGGCGTGAAGTCCTATCGCTTCTCTCTCTCCTGGCCAAGGATTCTGCCTGACGGTACAGCCAAGAGCTTCAACAAGGCTGGGGTAAACTACTATAAAAGGCTTCTGGATGCTCTAGTGAGGGCAGGAATCGAACCAATGGTGACATTGTACCACTGGGATCTTCCGCAAGATCTTCAAGACATTGGTGGGTGGGAGAACGAGATGATGGTCAGCTACTTCAGCGATTATGCAGACATCTGCTTCCGAGAATTTGGCAACAGGGTCAAACTCTGGATCACCTTCAACGAGCAGATTATCTTCACCACCCATGGATATGAGATAGGTAGCCATGCCCCTGGACTCAAACACAGCGGCTACGGAGCCTACAGGGCAGGTCACACAACAATCAAAGCCCATGCACAGGCTTGGCACATCTATGACCAAAAATATCGCAACAAACAGCATGGCAAGGTGTCTGCTGTCTTTCAGTCCAGTTGGTTTGAGCCAAAGACCAACTCGTTGGGAGATAAACTGGCTGCTAAGCGTGCACCAGAGGTCGTCCTAGGCTGGTTCGCCCATCCCATCTTAGTCGATGGAGATTACCCAGCAGTTATGAAAGAGTACGTAGCAAACGCAAGTCGTCTTCAGGGACTGACAACATCCCGACTGCCTGAGTTCACAGAAAGCGAAAAGAAGATGATTGCTGGAACGTATGACTTCCTTGGTCTTAATCACTACACCACCACCTACGTGAGTCACAAAGCAAGAGCCCAGCCCCGCGTGGCAAGCTTCGATTTGGATTTCGACATGGAATTGTCTCAGGATGAGGCTTGGCCTAAAGCTGCTTCTTCTTGGCTGAAAGTCGTACCCTGGGGATTGAGGAGGCTGCTGGGATGGATCAAGGAAAATTACGGCGATGTCCCCATCTACATCACGGAGAATGGAATGTCGCAGAGTGGCATGGACACCAATGATGAACTGAGAATCAAGTACTACCAGTCATACATCAACGAGATGCTAAAAGGTAACATATACTTTTCATGTTTCGCACAGCCGTGTCTTACATAACTCCCAAGGACAAGCTATTGTCTTTTCCTTTGTCCCTGTAATATAACACTCTCCCATAGACTAAGTACATCAACGCTTAACTTAAGATGACTTGAAGTTGTGATAAACTTGTGATGACTGGTAAATGGTCTTTAAATGCTCTCCGATGGAAATTTGATTGACTTCTAATAGAGTTGTGACAGAATTGTGATTACAAGTAATGACTTGTGATCGATTAGTTAGGACTTGTGTTGGCTAGTGGTGACTTGTGATTGACTTGTGATTAGCTTGCTATGACTTTTAATAGACTTGTGTTGACTTGTTATAAACATCAAAATGTTCTCTGCTGGAATTGTGGTTTACTAGTGATAGTTGTAACAGACTTGTGATTACAAGTGGTGACTTGTGATCGGCTTGTGATGATTTGTGATTGGCCAGTGATGACTTGTGATTGAGGTGCGATAACTTAAGATTGACTTGTGATTCCTTGTTTACAACTCTGCTTTTCGTCCTTACAGCTCACCTGATTGACGGCGTGAATGTCAAAGGCTACTTCGCTTGGTCACTCATGGACAACTTTGAATGGGCCGAGGGGTACAGCGAGAAGTTTGGCCTCTATGAGGTGGACTTTGATGATCCTAAGCGACCCCGGACACCGAGGGATTCGGCCAGAGCATATGCAGAGATTATCCAAAATAATGGGTTTATTCATCCAGGCTCAAAAGAGAAGACAGAATTGTGATTCAAGAATAGAACACTTGTTATGCAAACTGATCTCTAATTGACGTAACCCTGCTGCTTGATCTGATGCTTGTGACAGCAAAATTTCCGTGAATTTCCTTCTTTTTTCTTAAGTAGTGAACAAAACTACCAATTATTATGGAATACCGTACTTGACTGTAAGTGAATAATAGTCTCAAGCATCTTGTGAAATCATGGCACCTGGTGTGCTGTCATTTTTCAAGAAAAGTGGAATTTTTGTATCAATTTCCAACAATGGTCGGCTGACCATCTTTGGGGAAAAACTACCTTTTTTTTCAAATACTGCCCCCAATTTACTGAATTTCATTAGTCTGCAATTTGTTTTCAATTGATTACACATCCATGAATGGGTGCAAGCCAGCTAGTTTGGTTCCCTGACTTGACAATTCCCTGTCGTCTCTAAATTGCTCTGTTTCATCTGAAATAGGGTCAGGGAACCAGACTACAAGAATGGTTTTCCAGCATCTATGACTGCAAAACTTGTAACAGTGTAACAATATTCTCTATAAATACTAACCCCCAAATCCAATCATTTAGTGAAATTTACAGCAAAAGCAAATGTTGTATTCTACCTTTAAATACAAAGGACAAGTTTTGACTTCTGTTTTAATGTACCACACCAAAGACATCTCCAAGGTCATTTTATCCAAACTCCAAAGGTATATTTGTTTGGACCCTGAATCCATCAAAATCCACTGTTTAAATAAATTGTCACTTCCGTCCCAACTCCCAAGTGCTACTAAATTTGCTTAAAACCACCTTGTGCATTTTTAAGGATCTATGAATATCAATGTTAAGATATTACCAGAATTGATTGCTCTCCATTTTTTACATTTTTTTATATGGATTTTCCTTTTGTTGATAATTGAAGGAAACCCTACCAAAATATCAAGTAGGTGGCTTGAAACATCATCAAAATAATGTGCCAAAATATGATTAGCATATTTTTTTATTCATCTTTTTTTAGATTAGACTTTTTTCAAAAGCTACTTTGTGTTAAATTCTGTACATTCTTTTGAATTGTAATGATTCAATTCAACTTTGTATATCAAGAGATGCAGATTATGAAAGCAATATGCAAAAACAAACAAAAGAAACACTAGTATAATTAAGGTTGAACAACAAAATTGACTGGAGCGAGATTAGAACCTGTGACCAATGGGTAAAAAGAAGCACTTATGATGTACATCACTGATTATCGCAATAATAATCATTATATTTGTAAAATAGATTTGCTGTCAACAAAAGCAATAGATAAGTATAGTTTCAGACATGTCATCTGTTTTGCACATACCGAGTCCGATGACCTTGGCTTCCCGCCAAAAATAATTTTGATAAAAGGAATTAATCAAAATACAGACAGTTGTAACAGTTGAATGCTATAAAATGCAAATGCTATAAATGCAAATGAATAAATTAAATTGATAAAGTTTGTCCGTAAAGTGGGTATGTCCCTGCCTCTGATTGTAACCATTGAGGTAGGAAAACACCGTCATGTTTTGAAAATTTTAATAACGACAACATTCTGGACCTGGGGACCTGGCTACATGCGATAAAAACTGACCGTCTGTTGGTTTAAATTCCGCCACGAGAGGGAAAAAGGTTAACATTCTCGTATAACTCTGTCTTTTATGTGTATTGGCATCAACTTTTTACCGTTTGGGCATCAAATTTAGGAGGGGTGTTTTAGATTTGAAGCAAGTGCTACAAATATAACTGTCAGCAAATTTGTCAATAATGTTACACACTCAATACATTTTGGGTCACAAAAGGCCGGCAGTAAAATTTGTCGTTAGGTAGGCCCTGTTCATCATGCTTCTATTGTCGTTTTGCTCGGCGAAATGCATATTGTCGATGTTCACGCCCCAGCGAGTCGATTGTCACTCTCCTCCCCTTCTGACCTGGCCCCTGGTGCCGGAGCTCGACCGGATGAACCAGGAAATGTCCAGGAAATCACTCCGCGCCTGCCGTCTGTTTTGGATCGGTGGTGTGTTGCAGCAGCATCAGACATACGCTCTTGAACTTCATCGAAAGCATTTTGTTCAATCATAATCTTGAGATTCTCCGTCGTACATTTTGAGAAGAGCAATTTCTCAGGTGAGTAAGATTAGCAAGACAGGCATTATCGTAAAGTATAACAAGGTGTAGTTTATTTTTGGGGGATAACCTTGAAAGTGCAAGTTACTTAAACTTTTAATGGCAGCCGTCTAACATTAAAATCATTTTGGAGTGAAATATTGTGTGCGTGCAGACCTATATTTTGTTGCGCGCTGAGCTGTCTGATGGGCCACGTACACGACGCGTCGTATCCACTATTCATTGCCAACTCGCCATGTTATGGGACAAACATTTTCCTTTCGCCATTGTCGGCCTCCGATCAAACAGGCTAGCTTATTTGTCTAGCTTATTGTCTTCATGAACCTGAAAATAAATGTACAAAATACCAGTAGCCTTACGGGCGGCAGGCCTACAATGCTTGAGCGATGTTTTTTTCCGGAAAAAGGGAAATTTTTGCTTTTCAAAAATATAGGCCTAGGCCTACATCGCAAAATTGTGTAATCATAATTCGTGCACTGGGGCGGCCGGGTTTGAGTGAAAATGTTGGGGTAAATAACACCTTCCGGCTCACCAATGTTAATTAATTTCACTGTTTCTACTAAAGAAAAAAATAATCTTAAATTTCATGAAATAACGAGTTGTCGTTGTACCATAACATATATTCAGATGGCTCGTATATCCTCCTGTATTGTACTGCCTATTTCAAGTTTAAACTGTTGGCAACCATGATCAGGCCCATCATCTCTGGAAAAAAAATCTTGGATTTCAAAGCCTGAGCCATTACCATTTGAATAAGCCATGACCCGCAACTTGCGTAAGATGTTATTTTTTTTAAATTACTCTGCAAATTCCCTGTAATCTTTTTTTTAATTCCACAAATTTGACGAATTGTGTACGACTACAATTTGTGGGTCTAGGCCTATACAGCTGTAACAAAACGGATTTTAAAATGACTGAAACTTGATTCAAGATATTGTATTTATACTTGGAGAAATTCTAATAAATAATATTGTATTCTCCTGCGAAATCTTAATTTTAAACAAAAAATTGACCGAGACTATAGATAGTCCTAGTACAAGTAGTACGGAGCACGCGGGTCAAAATTTCAGTTTTTTGCTGCACATTTCATTTTGTGTAGTTATTTCACCGAACCCGTATATCTACACAAGTACAAGTGATGTGAGATGTATATTGCAGATTGTAATACCCGAATATACCCGATAAATTAACACAAACAATGACATTTGTATCAGAGTACCATCCAGTCGACTGTTATCTTTAGTTGTATATCTTGGTTCAACTCACTTACTTTGTGCAATCGGGAAAAAACTTGAACGCATCGACAAGCAAGCTATGAAGATAATTGGCGCTAATGTTTAAGATATCCAACATTTAGCAAAGAATCATCTTATCACCAAATTTAACAGCATTCTCTCGGATACAAGTCACCCCCTCAACCCTTTTATTACTTGCAATCGATCTGGCAGAGTACGTCAACTTAGTCTCAAAACAAACAGGTTCAAATCTTCATTTTTACCATGGGCTATTCAAATTCGAACTCGACATTCACCAGATAGTTTTTATCCCTACGCTTGTGGTTTTTATGTCATTCAAATGCCCTAGATAAGTTGCTTTTAGCTGTGTTTTGATAACTCAGTTATTCCATACCCGACTCTACTCAGCCCTGCCCCTCCCTACACTACCCTACCCTGTGCCAATGTTTCCCTTATCCTACCCTCTCTTTCCATGCTCCTCCCTTTCCCTTCTCACCCTCCTCTACCCCTCAATCATACCCTGCCCTGTACATTTTGTACATTGCCAGACCCAGCTGTTTCCATCCTGTCCTGTCCCATTTCCTCATTTCCTTATCACCCCACAGTCCGAAATTATGGCGACACCCATGTGTATTTGTTACAGGTTTATATCCTACATTGGGATTACGGTATTGCAATGTAGTTTAAAGGCTTTTCCTGTGCTACCAGGGACAGATGCATTGAGGATCATGGGGGTAATTATAGTTTCTTGTTGATTTTATGATTGACTTCATTATTGACTTTACTATTTTCAAGAGTGGCTTTTGTGAACTAGTTTCAAGTTGATGACAACTGGGCTCTGTGTTAAGTACCCCCTCAACGGTTTCAAAGGGAGAGTCGGGGAGACCACTGGGAGGGGAGTGGCACTTAATCACGCTGGCGTTCAATCTTTCGCACCATACTCGCGAGCTGAACCAATACGTGCACCCGTGTGTCGATATCTCCCACTCGAAAGTCGTCACTGCGCCACCTACTGTCTATGCGCCACCTACTGTCTACTGTCACACACAAAAAATCAATCAAATAGCTAAGGGATTGAACTTACATTTTGAATGCAGTTATGTCAAGTTCGATTTGAACATTTCTTTTTCTTCCCTTTGTAAAATCAAGGAATAAAAGTTAAGTGTGCAAATTCCTGTGTATATGTTTATTGTTTCAACTATGGACCTGGTCTATGGTTGCAAATGCATTCAGACCAAGTCTTTGTGATACATTTAATAGATTTCTAAACATGTTCGTTTTGTGTTAAAATTTTTCTCAATGTCTGTAATGTCATTTTCTGTCTTCTTTTTTTTGATACTCGTTCAAGCTATTGGTCAACACCGGATCAGGAACATGCTTCTTTGCACTTATGGTCCGTTTTGTTATTGGCCTCATAAAAGTCTACAAAACAGGAATCACAGTGGTAAGTTTTGGATAATCTTCGATCTGATTTTGTAGCGGATGATGTATTTCAGCAGATTGTCAGTTTAGGGATTGGATAACATGCTGATTGGTTTCCATCAATTGTTTCCTTCCAATAGCGGAGTGACCAGACAGAAGGGCGTGATAAGCTAGATTTTTCCAAGACACACTTCTACAATCGAGTCAAGTTCCTTTTGACACCTCCAGTGCCTGAGGAGTAAGTTAAATTATTAATCATGAGCGTGGTTAGAGAAGGTGTGTTTAAAATCGTCTGTGTCTGCCAAATTGTCTCCTGTGGGTAAAGTTCTGTTTCTGTTTGCAAATTGTCCATTAGTGGCCATGATCCTGCGCTTTGAACAGTGCACCCCGTGTGGTGTCCACCCTTCCCCCCCCCCCCCCCACCCCACCCCAACTTTTCGATGTGCTGGAGGTAGGGTGACCGGGGAAAAAAAATTCTACCTGTCTGTATATGGTCTGGCGGAGGTCTAGCGATGCTACTGGTTATTATTATCATTCATATCTATTGATAAACTGTGTGGACGGGGTGGTTTCATGGAGCCTCTAAACAGTTTTTTTTTTAGCATGACTACAAATTAGTTTAAGTTCAAGAAAGTTGGGCTGCGAGTGTTTCACTGAAGAAATGTTACCAGAAAACACAACAAAAAATGTCCAGTTTAAGAAGTGGGGTAGAGAGAACCCAAGATTCTTGGGGAAACATGTTATCATAAGGTAGGAAATATTGACGTTCTGTAGTAAAAATAGTAAAGACTTTTGTTTTTCATTTTTGAAATTATTTCAGATGTATTTCCCCCTATTTGTTCCCCTCAGCACCAGTGGAAATGTTGCTGTGCGTTTTTTTCGACACAATATTGGCACTGTGCCAGGTAAGCGTTTTTGAAGCCTTTAAAAAGAAAAATGATTTGCGCGTACATGTAATTGCACCAGTGATAATGCAGTAAATGGTTGGTACCAACAAAACATGCCTTGGATTCTTTTGCAGTGTAAGATTTCTTTAAACCTGACTACATTTTGTCTCTTTTTTTTTCCCGTAGCGTGTATTATTATAAAGAGTTTTCTACAAATCTGGTTTGCATTGTTTTGCATTGGTTTGCATTGTTTCATTTTGTTTCACAATCAACAGGTTTCAAATTTTCCCGTCGCAATATTTGCACCCTTGTACTGACAACAGTCACAATGATTCAGGTGAGTCGCACTGAGTGCAGTTTTGTTTCCTTTAGGGAGCCAACTTAATCAAGCCAGTTTCCTTGTTTATGTAAAAATACTTTATAAGCAGTCACTATTTTGAATTCTGTTAAGTGTTATTTTCAGCACCCACAGAAACCTTTCAGATGATGCATATTAAAAAAGAACAATCATGAATCTGAAACCCTAAACCTCGGCCCATATTACTGTCACAGAATTATCTTTTAAGTAATCCACTTTTTGTATGTAAATATGTTCTTCCCTTTCCTGTCAAATTCAGATGGGCACAATTGCTGCAAAGTATAGACTATATTAACTCCATGCACAAAAGCCCACTAAACAGTTACACTTTGATAGATATGATAAACAGTTAGACATCATTTATATTTATATTTGTTTTATTTCTACAGACAAAGCAAAGAAAAGTAAGAAATAATGCCAGCTGGAGCCCAGAAGATTGTCCAAAAGAAAGTGTTTCTAACGAAGGACTATCCACTCTGGCTGGCTCGACCACAAAAAGAAAATACAGTTAAAAAACGAAACCAAAAAAATATAACATATCACATTATTGAACAAAATATCTAAGTAAATTAGGTAAAATACAGCAATATAAGTAAATTAGTAAATTATAATAAATCGCAATTTGAAAACAGAAATTGAAAGCAATATATACAATTTGATCATATATGTGTATTTTTTGTTTTAAATGTAAGTTTGCTATAGCTGCCCACACGAAAGAAGCTATGGGTTTGTGTGCATTCAAATCAGATTAGATTAGTTGTGATTACATCTTCTAATAGCTGAAGTAGCAGATTTCTATTGAGGTTTCCAAGGGTTAAATTGACAATTGTATGAACAAATGATCGGAAAATCGGATTGAATGATTTCCACAGGTAATTTTTGGCTACATGTTTCTCGTCGGACATCGGTTCAATGATGCAAGGAATAGTTTGAAACAATTCTTCAAACAGTTGGGAGTGCAGGCCATCCCGGATGTATTTCTGATTTTTTTCAGGCAAATAGAAGGTAAATGTTAATGTCTTACAAGTCATTAATTAATGTAATTATCATTTATAGGCCACTTATTTATTTTTTGCAAGACATAAACCCCCAAAATTTAAAATTAGTTTAGGAAAAAAACCAGAAAAAGTCATGGAATTTTTATTTTCAATTTCAAATTTGTAAAAAGACAAAGGTCATGGAAACATCATGAAATTGTGTTGTCCTAAAGGTGCACGAACCCTGTTGGAGTTGAATGATAAAACTCTATTGTGTTTATAAATTTTTTCCGCACTTAAACTTCATGGAACCAAATTTTTAGTGTGGAGACAACATCATAAGTGGTTAACCAACAGGCCAACCAATGCAAAATACTAGGGGTGAAGGAGGGGGCTAGACCTCGTTTGAAGGAAGGAAGGAAGACCCTTTTTCCTTTTTTTTTTTTTTTTTTTTTTTTCTTCTAATGATAATTCATGAATCTGAACCTTTAAAAAAACACAGTAATATCCACTTGTTTTATGGTTTTATCATTTTAAAAGAAAGGAGATGGACCATAAGCTCCCTGAGTGTGCCAGTGGATTTGACTGAAAAGAAAAAAAAATAGGCTGAAAATGTGTAACATTTTCTGTCTTTCTGGGAACTCCTCAGTTAAAAAAAATCAAAAATATTTGTTTCATTTCAACGATTTTTTATTCAAACCATAATGAAATGCGGGGTTTTTGGTAAAACTAAGTCTTAAGCTGTTAAGTTTTAACAGAATTAAATATGAAATCTTATCATAAGTTATAGTTTTAAAATTTGTATTTGTGTCATGTACAAGCAGTTCCGTGTCTGAGGGGTTTCAGGTTTTCATCTTTTCAATTCTGTCAACTGACAATTTATCAGAACATTCTGTTCTCTCGTAGACACCTTTTGGATCAGTTGTTTCTTGGCCGTTGTTGTCTCTTTACTGTTCCTAATTGATCAACAGTTGAGATACAGGTGAGTCAATGGTATTTTTTAAGCAAAATGCAGAAGTATCCGCGTTAACGGTGAGAACGATAAAGAGTGACGACATTAAAGGAAACGATCTTGACTACCGACCCACGCGGTCGTGTTCAGTTTTGTCTCAAGCACATGGTTATAAAAAAAAACCACGAAACTCATATGTCAGGACCATTTTTAGTGAAGTTCTGCATGTAGGACTTTCGAAATCTAGGATATGAAAGCCCAATTGATAAGCTTTCTCTTAGTATAAGATTATCATTTAAATCACTCATTTCCTTTTTAAGTTACACGGAATTTTAAACACAACCACCGTTTTAAACTTCTGTCCGAGGATCACAAAACACGTTTTCTCTCAGCAAAACGAAATTCACGTACATCCCTATGTGAATTGTTTTCATTTTGCTGAAAGAACACTTACCTTTTTTTGGTGATCCGTGGACAGAAGTTTAAAACGTTGTTTGTGTTTAAAATCCGTAATTTGCAAAGTACATGAGTCCCGACATTTGGGTTTCAGGTTTTTTTTACTCACCCTGTATAATACCAGATTCTTGCACATATTTTAACATTATTAGTTACACATTCTTTGCACCCCATATGATCTGCCTGTTAACTCATTTGGTGTTCTTCTTTAGCTCTTATGATAATGAAACATTTGAAATTGAATAAGCAAAATGTGGATTCGAATTGATAAAATTCAGAATTCTCGTGGTAGTTTTTCATAGATTCATGAACCAGAGCACATAATTATGTCCATAAATTAAATGAGCCTCATTCGTAGATATTGTTTTTGTATGTGCAGGAAACACACTGTGAAGCTGTGGAGAGGTAACCGGTCATCCTGTCCGGAGGGAAAAGTCAAATTTGACCGAATGTTGGTAAGTATCTTTTGCTTTTTTTTCTCTGAAAAAAATCGGGTTGTAAGACATTCTTAAAGATTCATAAATACCGGAGACAGTTTACCTAATTTTGAGAGCCCATACCGAATTTTCGATCGCTGGCTTTTAAACACTGATTGGTCCTTGAGTACATCTACTTGTGATCGCAATAAAGTAGGAGAAATATTGAGCTCACCACGTTTACTCTATGGAAATGGCTCAACGATCATGGTATAAATTGGTAGAACAAAATCAATCCGCGTTTGTCAAATTTTCGACTATTTATGTGTGTTTTTTTTGTTTGTGTTTTTTTTTTTAGATTGGGTCATTATCAGCGACCTGGTCCCTATACAGGTTTAAAACCATGTTTATAACTGTTCCAACACTGTTATCCCCTTTTTGATAATTCCTGTTATTTTATTCCAAAGGTTGCAAGCCTTCGATACTCAAGTTATCAAGTGGCATTCACAGTGGGGGGTAAGATGCTTTGTTTTCGGTGTATGTGTGACTTCTTTTATAAAGCTCTTGTATGTTACTTTGTTATGACTTGTTACAATACAAGGGCACATTTTATGTCGTTGTCCATCCCCCGTTGACCTGCCTCCAGACTGACCTGTGATTGACTTCTGTTTACTTTGAGGTTTGAGATTTATGCCTGTCTTTTTTCCTTTGTTTTTGTGAATCTTGTTTTTGCAGGATTTGTAATCCAGCAGATTCTGCTGTGGGTCATATTGTTAATCCTCGTCATTGGTAACAGCTTTGTGCTCTATCTGCTTTGTAGATATTGGTAAGAATCAACACCAAACATTAATGGATGACAGTGCACCTCGTGATGCACCGCATGAATTGTTACATTAGTAGGCCTATACACGAAACATGAAACGACACATTCCATATCCCTTACCCAGTGGCGTAGCCACGGGGGGCGTGGGGGGCGACAGCCCCCCCCCCCCATGAAACCTTGTCGCCCCCCAGTCGCCCCCCCCCCATAGATTTTGAGTTTCTAAAAAAATTATCATAGATCTACATGACACCCCCATGAAATGTTCCAGCCCCCCCCCAGCGCCCCCCCCCCCCCCCCACCCACTGAAAAATTCCTGGCTACGCCACTGCCCTTACTACATTAAAGTTTTCTCAGTGTTGATAAAGTTATTTTAAGGGGGTGGCACCCCGGCAGAAGTCCGTGTCCCCCATGTGACCCCCCCCCCCCTTTAAAATCTTGAATTACACAAAAACAATATATCGGTTGCCTTCAGTGCCCGGTCCCTTGACAAATTGGTGCACCCCCTGCTCCCCAGAAGTTTAAACCTAGTTACACCGCTTATACGGTAGTGTCCCTGTAGGCCCTAATCACCAACTTACTACTGTTTGCCACTTCATTTTGTTTTAAAGCTTAAGTAACTCCTAACAGCCAAATCTCTGGCCAGTTTCTGTTTATGTTACAGGAACAGTTTGGCCTCATCTTTGAAAAAAATAAATAAAACCGAATAAATCAGTGTCTACGGTTGTTCTCTGATCCTCAGGCTATTCCTTCTGATGTCACTTGTGTTCTACTTGGGCCAGCTGTTCATCTCGAAAATCGTCTTCCTCCAGAAGGCACCGGAGCAAGAGGGACAATCGAGATTTATCTGCTTCCGAGAGACTGTCTTTGGTCTTGACAACAGGTTTGCAGACATTTAAAAAAAACACCACAAATTCAAAATTGAACAGAAAGTTATGTTGCATGGCTCCAATTGTGCATGTAGCACAAGCTGCAAAACACACTATTGTTTTCCTGTGTGTGGGTGGAAATTTCATGGTCACTTCTGGGTCAAGAAAAATTTAAATATTCACACTTGTAAAATACTGATGCACTGTACTCCGTGTCTAAGCGCCGCGATTTCTATTTTAAAAATCTGCATCCCGTTGCGATCTGCCACTCTGCTCCCCCTTGTTACCCTAACTGTCCCGAACTCTCCTTTTGTAACCATTGAAGGGATACACATTAAGAAACCTAACTTCCATGAACTGAAACCTGTTTTGAAAACAGACCCTGTTGTTTTCTGACAGACGCGTCTTTCACGTGACCCTGTACTTCTTGCTGTTCCTCAACTTCCTTCTTGGACTCTTGAGTTGCTTCTTGCGCATCGGCAAAGCTCTGGTGATTGGAGCCATTTACATTGGACGTATTGACCGATGCGTCATGATGAGAGGTTGGGAACTGTGGGACCGAGGTGATTAGTTTTGTATTTTTCTTCTCTTTATAGTTAAAACAATTTTCTATAAAACCGCAGGTTTAGTCTTTGGATTTTGAACCCTTAACCCTATAACCCTCAAGGCTTCATTTAAAGTATGCATAATCTTGTTGAATTGAGCATGATTATATAGGTTCAATGAATAATTATGCGCCTTCTCTTTTTTTATTAGGTCAGATTAATTTTTTAGTCAATTTTTACTGGTATTCCTTTTTTTGACAGGTTATGGAGCTTACATGGGCTTCCTTCAGCTGGAGGTTGCCCACACACACCCTGTCCTCATCACCTTCTGTCACTTCCTTCAGCAGAAGAGTCTTGAGTCGGATCCAAGCTCAAGGATCTCCACAACCAACGAGTTTATATCTAACGTCAATGCACGTAAGAAGCACTGTCATAGTTCTCCAATCTCCAGCTCCGTCACAGTTTGACAAAAATAGGAATATGAAAAAAAGCTTCAATGAGAAAAAAGGAGTTTTTTTCAATTTGAAATTTGCATCTTAGTCAAAACATGGTTTGGCAAGGAAATTAATTGCGATTGTAGCCTCAGTGTGTTACTGAAGGAAACTTTGCGCTTTGTTAGTCTGTCAGATATTATTAGTGACTAGTATAGTTTATGATAAATTGTTGAAATTTAACTTTGTTTCTATGCCACTGAAACACTTTATGTTTTTGATTGACAGGTGATTATACAATAATCAGTGAACATTATCTGAATTCCACACTAATGGAGCTCATAAAATATCACTTAGAAAGCTTGGTAATATGGTAGCCGAATTTGTCAAGGAAAAAATGGGTCGAAAACACTGGCTGGATATATTGGATGCTTGACGTTTTTGCAAAGTAATCTTCTTCGGCACTCCATGAAATTGGCTCTGGATTTGATTTGTTTCAGAGGTGGAGAGCGGTAGTTTTCTGCAGTCCAGCAAGGTCAGAGGTCACTACCCAGGAGCAAGAACCTACCGTCAGTTATCACGGCGCATGCGCAACAAGTGGCTGGTGGCGTTGACTCTGACGCGCAACCCCACTCTGGTGGCTGAACGCAAGGGGGCGCTCAATCGGACAAGAACTGTGTCCTCTATCAGTGATAATGCTATTTAGAAAGGTACCGGTGTAGCGTGAATATCCGACTCCATGAAATGTGGACTCATTGGTAGTACTGCGCACGCGTGAGTACGATACTATGCTATTTTTAGGATCATTTCGGGAGAGTGAGCTGTCACGTGCGAGGGATCAACCAATAATAGGGAAATAGGAGTCCGATTTTCACAGGAGTCCGATTTTCATGTGACACCGGTATTGTGAAACGTCAATTAACCACAAACTGACTAACATCACTTTTAATCGGTATTAGGCTAGACAAAGATATTGACTTGAACAGGAATTGAACCTGAGACCTCTTTAACACCAAACTAGTGCTCTACCAACTTAGCCGCGGCTACCCAGTGCCTTGAATCACAAGTGCATCACAAGTGCATCATAAGTCCTTCACTTATCCATCACATGTCCAGCACAAGTCCATCACAAGTCCATCACAAGGCCTTCAGATCGTCAGTCTCAAGTCAAGTCACTGGCTTTGTAAATAAACTGGAACTATTCATCCCATTATTTGTGACTGGATTTATGAAAGGACTTGTGTCTGGACTGGACTTCAACACTGAGGTGCTTGTTCTGATGATCAAGTTCAAATCCAATTTCTATTCAATTCCAACATTAAGTTACAAACTATTTGGTAATATTGCAATTTATCTGTATAGGTTATAATTAGAATTTATGTAACAGCTTGTGAAATGGCGTCCCGATATAGCATTGTTGGCTATCTCATAGTTTTTGGAATACAAGACCTAAAGCTTACACAACCATAGTTGCCTCTGACTACACAGACTGACCCAGACAAGAATGTCATTCTTGTTTGACTTGTGTTCTCATTATCGCGTTCAATGTTCAATGTACATTGCAAAAAACAAATATTCCAATTTTGCCAATAGGAGCTTCTTTGTGCGCAGTATTGACTGGACCACGTCTCATTGTCCACAATCATCAATCCTATCAATTATTATTTTCCTGATCTTTTTTATCTTTTAATAGATAGCTACGTTGCTGGTGAGCACAACTCCCAATTAGATTGCATTAGTTAATGGGCGGCTAGAACTTGAAGTAGACTTCCGTTGATCTTGAGCCATGCACGCACCCCTATAGTTAACATAAACTGTTCAGTTGTTCTTAAGCTGTTAGTTTTCCTCTCCATAATATGCTGTGAGAGTGTGAGTGCTTGTTGAGAAAACCAAGATTTCAACAAGTGCAGAAGAAAATTTGGTAAAAATACACTGAAATTGTTCGTTGGCTTTGAAAAGGAACATGTTAAATTTATATTTTACAACTTACAGATAGTTTGTTACTGTTATATTTTAGTGTTCAACAAATAAGTCCTAACATGTTTTTATTCTGAAATGAACGTGAAATAGTTTTTTTACATTTTTTTTACTTTTTTATGATTGGAAAGGTTTGGAGTTGGGAATAATTCGCCAAAAGGCTGATTGAGAAATTGTAAATGTCATGTAGAAAATCTGTTTAAAATAAGTTCGGTATAAATTTGTTAAATTGGCAAGTTATAGGAAGTAAGTGTAAAATTTCTTACAATTGAGGCATCATTTTTAGGTCGTGTCGGAATTACTTGGCTGCGGTTGAAATTACACGCAAGTATATGGAAAGTTTTGTACCAATAACCAATATTTTACAATGCCTGAATAAATCCCCGTCATCTCATTGGTGGGTCGTTGATCACATGTCATTGAATTGATCGTCCCAACGCACGGCGCGGCTGCAAAAGTATTCTTTTTTCACAGTAAATAGAAGTTCCATTGCACGATCACGCTGTCTGTGACCAATCAGACGACAAGGATGTATTTAGGCGTTGTATATTCGCCTTGTGGATTAGAACATTCCATCTGTCACCTCGTGGAATTATTCTTACCATTGCACTCATAAACATTCGTTATTTGTATAATAATTAATGGGTTTTCCTGTGCTGCTTGTTGTCCCTGTTGGGCTGTTTTGGGAGAAACTAAACACAAAACAGTAAAAACAAAGACATCTTCATTGGTACATAAAATGGATATTATTCCCACTGTAAAAAAAGTGTGCAGGGACATCAGTGGATTTGAAGCAGGTTAGAGTAGTATACATTGAAGGATTGTGTGTAATGAAACAGTATTTCTTTTGTTGTTTACATTTTAGGCGCGTTTGGCAGCCTGGATTTGGCTAAAGCATTTTAGAAGCTTATATTTTTTAATAGCTTATTGTTTATGCCTGTAATTTTGCAAAGCAGCCTATGTGTTTTCAGGAACACTTTTTTTGGAGTAGAAACATTTAGATCTGAATTTCATATTTGTGTGGTATTTAACTATCGCTGTGGTATGTTATTCTTGTAGTTTTATATCATATATAGCAACGCATGATTTGCAGTGAGAGCTAAGGAGTAGATTAAGTGTGATGAATGCTGCTGCTGCTGTTTTGCCATAGTCCTCATAGAACCGTCGGCATTCTCTTGTGTACCTTTGCTCTTGCCACGGCCATTCCTCCATCCGTCCACTTCCTGATGTTATCGATCCATCCTGTTTTCCTACGTCCTGGCCTGGCCTTCCCTTCTACTTCTCCTTCTACTGTCATCTGAACTAGGCTATCTGATCGGGGCTTCCAATGTCCATACATAGACAGCTTCCTCTTCCTTAACTGGACAAGCAGACCTTCCTCTTCTGAAACTCCTACCCTTTGGTGTGATGAATATGCAAGAAAATTAAACTTTTAGTTGTTGAAGTATTCTACATTGTTGTACTGTTACATTGTATTACATTGCATTACCTTAATAATCCATAAACAACATAGTACTGAGGCGGTTTGGGAGAGTATACGTGGAGTATAGTAAGAGGCAGGGTGTTTTTGAGTATAGTACATGGACTTTTTTGATTAAGCTCTAACCGTAACTTGTCATTATCCTATAATAGTTATGTAAAACACAGTGAAATCTTGATAAGTCAGACCTCAAGGGAACAGGTTCAAAATTTGACTGAAGCAGAGTTTTGAGTTAAGCAGGGTTGTATATCATTGTTATACTACTGAAGGCAATGGATTTTTTGTTTGACTTAACAGTTGTTTCGAGTTATCAGAGTTTGACTTATCGACATTTCACTGTACATAATGATGCATGGATTATGCATTAGTTTGAGGCAAATTTAGAGATGTTATTACATTATTGTGAAAGAGTTAAAAACATTTATCGGTGCATATTATACCCGTTCTAATAAACTAAACATTAAAGTATTATTGCCTGGACTCCAAATACAAAATATGGGAAGTGGTTGAAACCACCCCCTTCAGCGAGATCAATAAATACACGTATTTGCTGGTGCAAAAATGCCTTACCTGAAATATCGTCTCTTCGGCAACACGGGGCCGTATCATAAGTCCGACGCCTCATAGGTCCGACGCCTCATAAGTCCGAAATTTCGGACTTATGAGGCGTCGGACTTATGAGCCATAACATTTATTTATTCCGCCTCATAGAGGTCCGACGCCTCATAAGTCCGACAACGGAAAAAACGAGGCGTTTAATTTGACGGACTTACAAGACGTCGGAGCTATGAGGCTTTGGACTTATGAGGCGTCGCCGAGGCGTCAGACTTATGGGCCTTTATTAAATTTTGGTTAGGGGATACGATTTTGTCGGACTAATGAGGCGTCGAACCTATGAGGCGTTGGACTTATGAGCGGACCCCTGCAACAATGCGTTACCTAATAAAAACCATTAGTATCTGTCATGTTACTTCAAAACTTCATCGAACCTCTTGAAATACCCTGCACCTCAACCCTTCACCACATCCTGGATCCACCACTTGACTCACAATAAAATCCCTCACAATAAATTCCCTCACTTCGATAGAACTGCACCACCGACTCTGACACGTACAATTGACTGCAAAATTTGTGTTTGTTTACCAGTACGCACAGGGAGTAAAAAAAAATGTATCTTGATATTTAATAATAATCAGAAAAGGACTTTGTTCGATAATGATGATCAGAATAGGACTCTGTTCGGGGTGTACGCGGCACACCATCGCAGAACAGGTTGTGCATTATCTATGATCAGCCTCGTGTTCACAAATAATTCATCGTAGCAGACTGCAGACCAGTGGGTGCTTCCTCAAATCAGCTTTGGATTGTAAGAAACAATTTTGGCCTTTCGCTGGACATCATGGATGAGCAACCTTCAACAGTGTAAGTTTGAACCTGGAAGGAAGTTTTTTGGTCGACTGAAACTTTGCATAAATGTGTGTTTTTGTTAGGTTTATCCTTGTGAGACACTGTTGCCTGGCTGTGTGTGGCCAAGAATTAATGGAAGTTTTAGTTTGATTGTTGGTTGGTTGGGTTGCTTGTTCTTTTTTGTCTGTTTACACTTTAGCACATTGTATCCTGGGATGGAGGGATAACCCAAAGAAAAATACAAAGTATCATTTTGCATCCGGTCTTTAAGGGAAGAAGGTTTAATTCACAGGTAAAACTTTCATGGGAAAGAATAATTTGAAACACATTCAGTACAAAAAATAAAAAAAAACAGAGGTTGTACACTTTGGTACTCTACGTCCTTTCCTTTTATTTTAGTTGAAGGCTGTGACAAAGAATTGATTCTTGAGACTGAATTTTAATGTCTCTTTGTTTGTGAAATGTTTCAGAAATAATGAGTATGACAACACATCCACGTCAAACACAACTGATCTCAGCAACTACTTTGACGAAACAGCATGGAAGACATGGAGCCTCATACCTGCTGTGAGTGATCATTTTGTCTGTGTAACTGAAGTTTTGAATTTGTGAAGATGCTCTCCCCATGCTTGTTCACAATTTTGGTACAATTTTGGGGGTTTGGTCGGTATCAAAATGAGGGGAATAATGCTCATTGTGATTTTTTGCATGGTATGCACCCCTTAATTGGAAATTAATGTGATGGCATTGCACCGGTGGCAGCATTTTGGGTGCTATCATTTAAAAAAAAAAAAATGGTGGACAAATGTGCTTGTTACCACATATAATTAAGCCGGTAACAAACATATTGGCGGCCATTTTGAAGGAAAAAATTCAAAGTGATAACACCCAAAACACTGCCACCGCTCGCACTGCAAAGCTATCACACATTTTTCATCTCTAGATGTGCATTCCTTGCCAAAAATCGCTATGAGCGTTGCTGCTTTCGATCATCGGTGACCTAATTTTTGGATTAAAAAGTTATCATTTGAATTATTGACAAAGCATCATTTACTTTGTTTATTCCACAGTGCGCCATTTTGATTTTGTTCTGTTTCCTTGAGAAACGAGTGAATTTGTGGCCAACTTGTTGCCATGGGCGACCAGGCGTGGCCTTGTGAGTATGAACTCGTCGAATGATCTAAAGATCAAATTAGGTTTTGCCCTTCACTGACGTTTAAACACTGTATACTCAGTGTGTTACCTCCCGAGTGAAAGTTGGAAAAAATCACTCGGGTGGGATTCGAACCCACGACCTCCTGCTTTCTAGTCTTACCACTCGACCACCGAGCTAACGGGATCGGTTGGCTGGTTCGAATCTGATGTACATATCTGATGTATATTTTTGCAAAGCAACTGGTCAGTGGGGGGGGGGGGGGGGGGTCATCCCTGCCCCCTTCTCCTCCTTTAGTCACCTATACAGTTTTTACGCTCAATTTCTTTCTTTTTCCCCCAATAGTCCAGTCAACCTGGTGGACAGCTACAACAACCGTTGGGCCTTTGCGTTTGCCTTCGGCAGCATGTCGACTATGCTCATTCAAGCAGATGGAATTTTCCCATTCACAGCCAATGACATTGATCACACTAACATCATGTTACGAGGTAATAAATGAAATTCCATTTGCAAATATACCTCATTCATTTTGAGGTTTTCATACGCTACCCCCCCCCCCTCATCTCTTACAATGAAGAAAAAGAGCCATCGTTTCGAGGCCTTTTACTGATATAATTGCAGTGAATCTGACAGTGGTTGATCTAGATCCGCCCCTGATCTGAATTGTCCCAAATTAAGTTCTTTACCCAAGTAGGCAGGGGATTTGTACCCCACCCCACAGCCCCCAACAATCTTTGAAATCATTTTCCTTTGCCCGCCCATGGATACCCTTCCAAAGAGACATACATATGCACTGTGACCCTTCAACTTTAGAAACGTTCCACTGCCATTGCCTACCCCTTATGTCTAACCTGATTTTTTAATGATTCTTATACATGTATTTCATTTTGTGTGATACAGGGACAGTCACGTTCTTCGCCATTTTAATCAATGCTCTTGTCATAAGCCTCGTGTTCTACCCGATCCTGCTGTGCTTACAGACCCAATGGAAACTACTGGGAAACATCTTTGGTTTGCTGTACTCCATCATTTGGTAAAAATCACAAATATTCCATCATATAGTAGTCGTTGAAGGGTCCTATCCTCAACATTTTGGTAATATCTAAAAGAACTATTTATAACTTTTTACAAAGCAACAGACTGGTTCAACGATTAAACAAAGCATTATGGTGTACCCCCATAATGCTTTCATTTGTGGTTTAGATCGACGGCCTTTGCACGGTTAAGATTGTTTTATTACCCTGATCGGCAATGTGAGCATTGTTTGAACATGCACATGTTGTCAAAACACCAAAAGACAATTTGATCCAGATATTCCTAAAAGCTCAGCAAACAAATATTATGTGACCAAGTTATCAGAAAATGAGAAGGGGAGGGGGATCCCTAAACCCCAACCACTAACTCCCCCACTACCCCCCCCCCCCCCCCCCCCCCCCCCCACACACACACACACACCACCACCGGGCCCCTTATGCGGCTAAGGTTTAAGACAGAGGAAATGTTTTGTTCTTTCGCAGGTTCGTTTTCTACATCGGTAGCATTATAGTGAAATCACTCGATGTTGGACAGGACGACAACCGCTGCCCAAAGGAAAAATTCCTTACAGTCTTGGCGGTAACAGTTTTATGCTTTGTTTATCTTCTACAATGTTTGAGGAGTTTTCACGATATTTAAACAATGGCATTTAAATAGTAAGGTTAGAAATTGATTACACAGCACAGAATAGACTCCAGTGTAGTGAAATGAGGTTATGACAGCTAGAATTTTGATCGTTGGTCTAAAAGGTCATATCTTTAAAGAACTCAATTGTGGACCGGTGATATAATTTTACTTCCCGGTTCAGGTAAAAATCCCTAACACAAACATAGTTGTTTCTCTTTTTCATCTGATCTTTATTGTCCAATTATCTTTTGACATAATTTTTGTGACATGTCTCAGCGCCAATTTGTTTAATTACAGGCACAGGCATGAACAAACTTGACTGGACTTTTCATTTCCTTACTTTTTATGTTTAATTTTTCCTAGCTGAATGTTCCAGCTTTTCCTACTCCTTGTCTCTGTCATTGTATCCACAGAAACTTGCCTTATTTGGAGGTGGAGCAACATTTTTCCTCGCTTTGATGATTTGCTTCCTAGTTGGTCTGACGAAAGAATTCAGGAAAGGAATAAAACTGGTAGGTCATTTAGAAGATTAGACTATAGCGCTGCGTCCACACTTTTTTATGTTGCATTCATAAATACCTGATCCTGTTTACCCATTCCCATTGGTCAAGAGCCCGTCACGTGGCCAGTCTTAAACGGATGATAAAGAACTGGCTGGCTGGTCTTAAACACTTTTCCAGTGTGACATGACATTTGGACTCCTATGAAATCCGATATCTTTTATCGTTTTATTGGTTGAAGGTTCACATTCCAGTGGTGCACCGGGGGGGGGGGGCCCTTCGGGGGCTTGAGCCCCCCCCCCCCCCGAGGTTGTCAATTTTATTTTGTTTGGTCAATTTTTTTTTAGTCCCACAATCTGACCGTGGTGATATGTATGTGGCCTATTTTCGAGTTGTGTACCGAAGTGTGACGTCATTTAGAACCGGGAAGTGTAGTTCAAACGAATGGAGTGCATGCGTGCATGTGTTGGTTCAAGGGCTGAATCACGTGCTAATATTTTTTACACATTATTGTGCGCGTGATGTATTCACTTCGGTACTCTATAATAGGGGTGTAAATAGCGCCACTATACTGAAACGTCAAAATATTTCAAAAATTTGAGGAAAAAAAATCGGCTCGGGTAATTATCATCATCCATACTCCAACCAGTCTGGAACATAGCGTTTAACACCTCCCAGGCACACATTTTATTCCCTTATTTGCAAACGTTCAAGCATTTTCTAATATATTTCATACCTGGATATAGGTAGCTTTTCAGAACGTATAATCTAATAGGTACTCTTTAAAAAAATCAAAAGTTGTGGAATTGTTTTATTATCAATTAGTTGTCAAAAAATGTAAAATGTATTGGTATATCATGTGGAAATGAACTTGCCAAATCATTTAAGAATCTGTGGAGTTGAGAATTGCTCTCACTGAGATGAAAATTCAGGAAAAATATTTTGAGGAAAGGAAGCCTGAGAAACTGAATCAGAGTACTCCACTTCTTCGTTAATTTGTTTTTGATATTAGATCAAAGAAAACCAATAATTGTCGGTTTCTTTTTTCAAGGGATTTCAAACGGACCGCGATACTCCTAGGACGGACTTCGATAAGACGCATTTTTACCATCGCGTGAAATTTCTCTTGACACCACCATTACCACAAAAGTAAGATGTACTTGAGCAAAATTAGTAAAGTGTTCATTAGCTAAATTAAATAACAAATCATTAAAATAACTTTTTGAGCAGTAGTCATTTCTATTATTTGTCCAGTTACAGTTTTGGTTATTCTCAAAATGTTTGGACCAGATATGGCATGTATTATGCACGGACTTTTATTACAATTCACCATTGACTTTGAAATAGGCTTAGAATCTGAAAACGTATTATCTTGTTCTCCCTCTTTAACGTAGAACATCTGGAAACATCATAGCGCGCTTATTTCGGACGTACGTTGGCACTGTGCCAGGTAATATTTCCTTTCAGTTTAAAATCTTGAACAACTGTATCAATCCTCCAGATTTTGTTTTGTTCAGATCTTGAAAGGACCTTATTTTGCTAATTAAGCCTCGCATGGAAATCCTAAAAAGGTGTAAAGTTTACTTTAAAATCGAAACAAAGTGTTGTGTTTTGGAGACGTTATACGAATACTATATCCGCATGATTTCCAAATGCTCTTTTTCAAACCTTTTTGTTGCCAGGTTTCAGATTTTCACGTCGTAATGTCTGCACCTTTGTACTGACTGTAGTGACGACCATTCAAGTAAGTTTGGATGTTGCAAGTTTTTTTGGGCCAGCCATACTGAATTTTAGTGGATGAATACTTCAGAATTTGTTAACCTGATGTTTTAAGAGTGAACCTCTATTCGTTCTCAAGACAAACTAAATAAGAACTTTTGTTATTTCCTCACAGATTGTGTTAATGTGGCTGGACTTATTTGGACGCCAGTTGAAATTCTGTGATAAAGTGGCTGTTCTGCCTGAAATACGCAAAGCATGGCCCGGTTTTAATGAGGTTGTGGACAAAAGGGAAAGTAAGTGTTGAATGCCAACCGTATTGGGAGCTATTCGTTGCCAGGGTGGGGAGGGGAAGTGGGAGGGGTGTTTTCGAGGATCACATCTTTTCGGTGAGTGATGCTCATGAAATATGTTTATGAATCACTGATAAATTGATATACCACCCACAAGTTAAAACAGCAGCTAAGGCAATTGTTTAAAAATCTTCTTCTTTTTTAAATGGCGCATATACGTTTATGACCTCTGACAAGGGGGTTTGACCAAAGAAATTGACAAATTGGGAAACCGCTAAACATAGTGCTGAATCAGTTGATATAGCACTATAGTACGGCATGCCGTAGGTCGCAGGTCCACACCCCACTCCAGTCAATTTCTTGGTTCAGCTTGATAATTATTATGATTGTGTGCACTTATTATCCTTTGTGTAGAACCCAGACCCTGACAAAATCATTTCTAATTTCCCCCAAACTAGTTACCGTTTGGATAACGAGTGTCGTGGCCGTCATTTTCACTGTAATCCATACCATCGATATGCAGCTACGATACAGGTAAGTGTAAAGCTGTATTCATCACTGGTATACCTGGGGAAAAAACGTTTCCTTTTTTTAAACTACCCCTGCTTATACACTTATTAATGGTGATCACAAGATTATGCTTTTGTGCTAATGTTTGCATCTTATGATCGCAGGAAACACACTGTGATGCTGTGGAAGGGTGACCGGTCATTTGTCCCTGAAGGAAAACTGCCTTTCAGTACAACGTTGGTGAGTCAGATCTGAAATATCAATAACGGTAGTTCAAATTCATTGGTGCCCGTTATATTCTCTCAAGACAATTGTTTAACAGCTGTAGATCGAGCCAGAAAATCAGAATTATCACGGTATCCATTTGTTGAAATGCTTGATTATTTATTTATATTAAGAAAAGGAAATTGGAACCTCGTGGTGTGAAAATACTATGCTTGGAACGAGGTAGGTAGAAGCGGGGATTCTCTTCTTCTGAAGAGAGATGCATGAGTATCATTTATAAAGTGCAGACACTTTGAACAGAAATATAAGTTGCTACCAGTGGCGTAACTAAAGCCCCCCCCCCCCTTGTGTCCCAAGTGCCCAAGAATTTGGAGAAAGCAAGAATGAAAAACACATTTCTGAGTGGCCCTCCAGAAAATGAGGCCATTAAGTTCCCTCTGCAAATTGCAGGGGGAACTTATCTTATCTTAACTTATTTTATCCCCGTCTCCTCCCTTTTCCCCGACACGCACATACAGTCAAATTGTCAGTCTGGTCACAATAACATTGCCAGTCAGCATGTCACTAGGCCAGTGGCGTAGGCCTATCCAGCATGGAAAGGGGGAGGCTAAGACGATTTTAAGACGGTTCAGATGCCGATACAGTAAAGTCTTAATCCCACCCCTTCCCCCAGCATAAAAAGCTCGATGTGCTGCGGCACTGGGCAGCAAATTGCCGTGTGCATCCCCTGTGGTGTTAATTAAGTATGTGAACAAACTGGAATTAATCACACGCTAACACTAATTTAGAATTGTTTTCTGTTCCGTATCATGTGTAACAGGTTGCAAGTTTAAGATACTCTGGGTACAATGTGGCATTCACGATGTGGGGTAAGTTCTTCTTTTTATGAAATGTTTAAAAGAAGGATTTTGCGTCGGGGAGATGTAATATATTTGTATATTGGGTTTTTTCCTTTGCGGATGCATTTTTATCACACTGCATATACTCACTGTCGTCCAAACTTAAGGCTTGCGAGAAGGGCAAAACCCATCATTAAAAACATAAATAAAAAAATAAATGATTAAATTGATAATGATAATAATGTGATGGTTAGCTTTTATACATTTGTCTCAAGGTGCTTCATAGTTGTTCATTTTTTGGGGGGTGGGGTGGGAGGTTGGTTACAAGGGGTGTAGCTCGTGCAATGAAATGAATTTCCAAAAACCCCTTTTGAAAAAAACTTTCGAACAGATGTCCTATTTGATCAATTTCAGATATTCCTCCTTTTTCTCAAAGCCATTCTGCTGCCACTGTGCTCCACGCTGCAATTTATCTTTCTTGTTTTCATTTCTGTCACTTTTTGGTTACTTCTGTCCAGGTTTTGTGGTCATGCAGCTTCTGCTGTGGGTCGTCCTGTCAATCATCATTTTATTTAAGGATTTTGCTCTCATTCTCCTTAAACAATATTGGTAAGTTGTTTCAGGGATGGATCCAATATTGTGTTTACACACTTTGGAGTGAATTATAGTCTGTAGGATATTAACAGGGAGTTGTCTAGATTGTAAAGTAGGTTTTTGCTCAAATTTGCCGTATTTTCAAACATTTCACATATTGTCGAAATGAAGAAAACGAAAAATGTTGTCTGGTCCCTTATTACCGGGTTTTCAAAAGTGGAACCTAATTTAAAGAAACTGGATGTACGTATAGAGGCGATCTTTATATTAACCTCAGTAACAATAACATTGCCTATATATTGTCACAGACTGAAATTCTATATTGATTTTTCTTTCACATGCAGGTTGACTCTTGTTGTCACTTTTGCTTTCTACTACGCCCAAGTCTACATCTCGCAAATCGTCTTCCTCCAGAGGGCGCCAGACCAACAGGAGCAGTCTATATTTAGCTGCAGAAGGCAGACGTCTTTTGGTCTGGACAACAGGTCACATAATCATTGGTTCTTGCTCTGCTCTTTTTTATATTTATCTAAAGAGGAAGAAAAAGGTTTTAAATTCGGTTAAAGAGGAACATTTTATCGCTTGGAATCTGAAGCTGACCTATGCGCAATGAGTACCTAGCTACATGCATGGGCATCGCCAGGATTTTTTCTAGAGGGGGGCAAAAAAGTTTTGCCAAAAAATGCTTGTATTTCTCAACACTTTCTCGATTTATAAGTTTTAGAGGGGGGCAGGGACATTTCGCCCCCCCCCCCCCCCAACTCATTAAATTTACACCACTTTGTCTTCGCGCCTCTTTTTTTTTTTTTTCTTTTTTTTTTTTCTTATTTTTTTTTTTGGGGGGGGGGGGGGCTTTTCCAGGGGGGGGGGGGGGGGGCAAGTGCCCCCCTTGCCCCCCCCCTCGCGACGCCCATGGCTACATGTTTGGGAGACTGCATGTATATGATATTGACTGTTTACTGGTCACACGCTAACATCACAAACTCTTCTTTTCATGACAGTAGTAAAATCCTCCTCAATTGGCAGTATTTTTTGTAAAATTTCGAAGCAGAAGACACCATCTCGCTAGTCCTTTCAACACGAAATGCTTCAAGTAAAACCTTTTTTTCTGTTGCTATATTTAGACATGTCTTTCACGTCACTGTATACATCTTGATGTTTGTCAACTTCATCCTTGGGATGTTGAGCTGCTTTGTTCGTATTTCGAAAGCCCTTCTTTTTGGAACCCTCTACATCGGACGCTTGGACAGACTTCTGCTGATGCGAGACTGGGAGACTTGGGACAAAGGTGAAGTTCAGTCATTTATTTTGGGCATATTCCAAAAATACGTGCAAATTGTGTCTTTACGAGATTTCTGGTTAGCAAAACACAATTGTGTCTAGTATTTCACGGTTTTGACCCATAAACACTTCAGCGCATGCAGACTGAGATTTATAGTATTGTGTGATCGTTGTAAGCAAAGATTTAGTCAAGATTTGAAACTTTGCATGGTGGTGGACTGGTGGTATGAACTAGTCAAGGTTTGCGATAACACCATGTGGAAATCTATTTTGGGAAGATGTGTGGTTCTGAAAAGTCAAGTCTCTAGTCGAGTCTCAAGTCAAATCACTGACCTTTCAAAAGACAACTTCTCAACTGTCGTTCAACCCTCATAACTTACCTTATGTGTAATCGACTTGTGATGGACTTTTGATTTGATGCGGATGAATGGGCCCCTTGATTGATGATGTTTCGATTGCATCTGTTGGCAGGTTACACGGCCTACGTCGGCTTCCTTCAGCTGGAGGTTGCCCACACCCACCCAGTCCTCGCCACCTTCTGTCATTTCCTTCAGGAGACCGTGAAGACTGACCAAGCTTCATCGCAGAAATACACAACCAACGAGTTGGTGTCTATTGTCAATGCACGTGAGTCAAGCTCCGCAACTCTTCAGGCTGACTGTTGTTTTTAGCACGTGACTGCAATCAAGAAATAAAAAAGCGAGATGAAGAAATGTTTCATAGTTGTTGGACATTACGATTGATGTAAAACGTTGCAAGAAGACTAGGTCACAATTTGTTGAACATTTCCTAACACTAGAAAACGTTATTTTTTAATATTGCAGTTCCTACAATAATTTTTCAGGCATTCATATAGCATGAACAGTTTGGGAGGCAAACATTTTGAATAACGATTTACACCTTATTTTTGCGAGAACAGGCTTTTGACAAATTTAATTCTTGACATTTATGTTTGGGAAACCTATGAACTGCTCAAAGAGAATTTGCATCCTCAATCATGTTTACCAGGTGGAACTCACTTATTCCACTGAATTAAAGACTAATGTAACCTGACTTCTTGTTACAGAGATAGAGAATGGATACGATGTGCCAGAAACAACCAATGGTAGATGCTACTCTCCTGGAGAGCCCTCTAGCGGTCAGTTATCACGGCGCGTGCGCAATAAGTGGCTGGTGGCATTGACCCTGACACGCAACCCAAATCTGGTGGTCGAACGGAAAGCGGCACTCAAACAAACAAGAACCGTTTCTTCTATCAGTGATGATATCGTGAAGAGAGGTAAGTCATAAAACATCACAAAACCACAACCATAATTGGTTCACTTTTAATATATTCTACTCTTTCTGGGAATTAAGACAGTTTACCACTAAATTGACAACTACGACTGTTTCCTTTGAAATAGCAGCATGTGACATTTCGAGACTGTGCACTGGACAATTTATTCTTAAGCTCCTCTGCGCTGGACAAAATTAATGATGTCACATGTCGCATCGTCCAAAGTCACTATAGGGTGCATACCTGCAAATAAACTCCCATAGACACTAGTGCTAAATGCCCGTACTTCAAAATTCTTTTAAAAATACTCAAAACTCTCACAGGTATTCAAGCTGCACAGAAAAATGATGATCAATGTGTCATCTTTCATTTTCTTTTCAATTTATGGTGGGTTGACCATTGACTTTTCGAGATATTTTCACGCAAAGAAGACGACACCTATTTTCCCCAAAGCGGAAAAGTAGCCATCTTGAAAAACGATCCCTCCACAACATGGCAAAATAGCGCCACTTTCGAGCCCAATAGCATCCAAAATGCTCAGAATTGGAAGCCCCAAGTCCGGGCTAGAGGTTCACTACCATATCTCTTCAATTCCCCAATTTTACGGCGCTCAGAACTCTCTAATATAGAATATTTTGAGGGTATAACTTTTATTCATGAGCTTGGCGGATCGATTTACAGGTGTGTACCCTATAATAGCAGGCAACTTTTAAATTTTAACACAAAATCACATTCAGGACAAGCAGAATATCTCCAAAGTCAATATTTTGAAAAAAAAAATGAAAGAAAAATATTATCCGAGGTAGATATTAAGCCCGAAAATAGTGATTGTTTTGCCCCTGCTAAGCTGTAGAGCGCCCCCAGCGACAATAAATTGAGTTCCAGCTACTTTTAAGCTCAAAATGCCCCCCCCCCCCCTTTTCAAGTATCAATTGTTGTAATCGGGTGATAGCCTACTGCTCCCTAATGATTTGGAAGCATCCGTTACGGCAAAAAAACCCTTGTTGATACCTTTAAAACACTTTTTCCCCCTCCCCGTAGGTTCCGCCCACTGAAAAGACCACTGCCGCGGCACAGCGCATGCGCGAAACGGCCATCTTTGTGATTCTTTATAGGGTGCATACCTGCAAATAAACTCCCATAGACACTAGTGCTAAATGCCCGTACTTCAAAATTCTTTTAAAAATACTCAAAACTCTCACAGGTATTCAAGCTGCACAGAAAAATGATGATCAATGTGTCATCTTTCATTTTCTTTTCAATTTATGGTGGGTTGACCATTGACTTTTCGAGATATTTTCACGCAAAGAAGACGACACCTATTTTCCCCAAAGCGGAAAAGTAGCCATCTTGAAAAACGATCCCTCCACAACATGGCAAAATAGCGCCACTTTCGAGCCCAATAGCATCCAAAATGCTCAGAATTGGAAGCCCCAAGTCCGGGCTAGAGGTTCACTACCATATCTCTTCGATTCCCCAATTTTACGGCGCTCAGAACTCTCTAATATAGAATATTTTGAGGGTATAACTTTTATTCATGAGCTTGGCGGATCGATTTACAGGTGTGTACCCCTAATGCTCAACTGATCTTTCTTCTAACAGATCGTTACGTTGCCGGTGAGGCTCACGCATGAATGGATTGCGTTGGTTGGAAGATGGCTGCTTCGGATTTGCAGGAAAAGCTATTCGATTAATCAACATACCAAAACGAGACTTGTTAATTGTTTGGTAGACAAATTAATAATACTGAAGTAAAGCTCTTGTTTTATGGAAATAAAATGTTGATGTTGAAGATGAAACTTAATGAAGAAAAGATGAAAGTTGTGAGAAAGACACATTTTGTTTTAATTCAAAAATACCGATGAATATTTGAAGAACAATGAGAGTAAGTTTGCGGTTACATCATGTGACAAGTAATATTTTAATGGGTTTGTTTAGTTCTAAAAAGAGCCGGGTGATCAATATGCTCTGGAATGTACTTAACTTGGTTATTGTCTTTGAAAATAATATGTTTAAGAACAAGCTTTTTTAGGGTAAGGATTATGTTAAAGACTAAAGATTCTTTCCGAATTAAAAAAAATTTGCACTTTGAATTATTTAGGCATAAGGTTCCAATATATTCTTTTGAAATATATGTAGGAGTAAATAATGGTTATATATATTAATGTCATGTTTAAGTTTGATTTTTGTGGCAACATAGGCCGTAATAACTGATCAAAGCAAGTTTGATAAGTGAAGAAAAGTATATCAGTTCAGCTGTATACACGTAATGAGAAATTTCTTGCAATTAGTTGTATTATTAATTAGCGGTAGACGCACCTACTTAAAAATGTATTAGTACTTAATGAATTTTCCGGTGTAAGAAGTACAGTGTGTGATGGAGCTTTATCTATTAGAGTGCTGCTTGCCTTTTCTTGTCCATATTTGTGAAAGGCGCCTTTATGAATGGACAACACACTGCTGTAAAATAAAAGCATAATTTCTCGTACTTAAAACAGGGACATCATATCATGTAATGGTAGCTGGGCACTGCAGGCCTGAATTCATCCAAAACATGCATAACCCAGGTGTTAACTGTAGTAAGCCATAAAGTGTGTCGTGTTTTTTTCTCTTACTGCTTGTATGTGTATAATAATAATAATAAACTGGCTATAATTTTGATGAATGCCGTTTCAGTGGGACATTCTTTGTACTACACAAGGCAAGGCAAGCCCAGTAAAGCTGGTCCAGAGTGCACAATATTATATTCAATTGATATCAGAATGGTTATTCACTGTAACGTTTTTCATGCACACGGCCTACATCATGCCAGATGTAGCCCATAAGCCTTTTCAGATTCAAACTGCGCATTCGTAACCTGTGACAACGCGCATTATTTGTCTCAAATGGCCTTTGACATCATCGCGCCACTGACTTTACAAAAAGGCTGTTTGTGCATTGTGGGTACTGTCAAAGGGCATTTGAGACAAATAATGTGCGTTGTCACAGGTTACGAATGCGCGCAGTTGGAACTCCGAAAAGGCTTATTCATGGACGTTGTTTAAGGGTAATCCTATAGACCTTTACCATGGTGCAGCCATTTGACTTTTTCCCATTCAAATCTATGTAACCAAAGCGAGGCTGACAGGACAAATAGTCTGGTTCCTTTTTGCACAAAAACATTATCATTCCGTACTGTTATTGGGTACAGGTAACATGACTGAAATGGTGGCAGCATGATAAAGGTCTATTGCAAACTTGTGAGCCGAGGTGAGGAGAGAAAATTTGGAGGGAAATGAAGCTCACTGAAAGTCCATGCCAGAATGCAATAAAAAAACCCGAAAATCAATTGATGAATTCTGAATTATTTTTATGATAACTGTTGTCACTTAAAAATGTATAAGTTTCTCAGTACTTACCTAATCCTGTGATATGATTAATATTTCTGTAACATGATACTCTCCCCTTTAAAATTGCTAATAACTGTGTACTTTGCTTTTTGAGCTAGCCAAATACACTTGACTGCACACGTTTGTTTATTTTTCTGTCTACGTGAATACAAAAAAATAAAAACGTAGATTTGTATTATGATTGGTTCAGGACTTTGATCATTTAAATTGTGTGCAATTGGCTGTGTATATTTTGACAAGAAGCCTGCGTTCACATATAATCCGATGTGGAAAACAGCAGTGGTTTGAACTTCATTATTTCAGCATTTCATCGTCACAACAAGCTTTGCGTAATTTTGTTGGGAAGCCATGGATGAACAATCTTCATCGTACACGTAAGTGTCATGCCTGATTTCTTTGGTTCGGCTGCTTTTTGCATAACTTGTATAATTATTAGACAAATATGAAGTTAATTGGACAGGGGCTCTTTATGTTTGTTTGAGAATCATAAAATGAAAGGTTCCCAATATTATACAATGGTTTACTTAACATTAAGATGTTCGCCTGGTTCAATGGAAGAACAATGACTTTATAGAAAAGAAGAATGATGAAGAGCAATGACTTTATAGACAAGATAAATTATTATTGTCATTATAGCAACGCATGATTTGCAGTGAGAGCTAAGGAGTAGATTGGTGTTTTTGAGTATAGTACATGGACTTTTTGATTACGTTCTAACCGTAACTTGTCATTATCCTATAATAATTTGGGAGGCTAATCATCCTTACTCGCAGCTGGCATGCTGAATTGCCAAGGACGCGGCTACATTGTGGTCGGGCCGCTGGCACGTGAAGGCGCCTATGGCTGCCGGCCACATCGACCCATATATCATGACCACGGAGCACAGCCTGAGATCGAAATTGTTTGATTTTTCTGGAGGGAGGAAAACCGGAGGGCCCGGAGAAAAACCCTCGTGGCACAGGAGAGAACCAACGCACAACTCTACTCACATGCGATCCACGGCCAGGATTCGAACCGTGGTCACCTTGGTGAGAGGCGAGCGCTTTACGCACAAGCCACCCATGCCACCCCAATAATAATTATGTAAAACACAGTGAAATCTTGATAAGTCAAACCTCAAGGGAATAGGTTCAAAATTTGACTTAAGCAGAGTTTTGAGTTAAGCAGGGTTGTATATCATTGTTATACTACTGAAGGGAATGGATTCTTTGTTTGACTTAAGAGTTGTTTTGATTTATCAGAGTTTGACTTATCGACATTTCACTGTACATAATGATGCATGGATTATGCATTAGTTTGAGGCAAATTTAGAGATGTTATTACATTATTGTGAAAGAGTTAAACATTTATCAGTGCATATTATACCCATTCTAATCAAATAAACATTAAAGTATTATTGCCTGGACTCCAAATACAAATTTATGGGAAGTGGTTTAAACCACCGCCTTCAGCGAGATCAATAAATACACGTATTTGCT